ATTTATTTATTTATTTGAGAGGCAGAGTTACAGACAGAGATCTTCCATGTGCTGGTTCACTCCCCAAATGGCTGCAAGGGCCAGAGCTGGGCCAATTCGAAGCCAGGAGCCAGGAGCTTATTCCAGGTCTCCCACATGGCTATAGGGGCCCAAGTCCTCAGGCCATCTTCTACTGCTTTCCCAGGCCATAACAGAGAGCTGGATTAGAAGTGGAGTAGCCAGGTCTCAAACCAGTGCCCAGAGGCACGCTGTGGCCGGTGCACCGCGCTGATCCGAAGCCAGGAGCCAGGTGCTTATCCTGGTCTCCCATGCGGGTGCAGGGCCCAAGCATTTGGGCCATCCTCCACTGCACTCCCGGGCCACAGCAGAGAGCTGGCCTGGAAGAGGGGCAACCGGGACTAGAATCCAGTGTGATGGCGCCGCAGGTGGAGGATTAGCCTAGTGAGCCGCGGCACCGGCCTAAACTTGTCTTTAATTCCATCTTTCTGCCAATTTTTGACATCCCTCATCCATAACAATGATGATGTCACAACCAATATTCATGGACTGTGTGCTGTGTGCCAGGTCCAAGCCTAAGAACTTCACAAATATAATACATTTAATTCTGGTGACACTGTGAGGTGAGCTGTAGTTCTCACCTTCACTTTGCAGAGGAAGAATTATATTGCCAAAAGTCTCATAGCTGATGGTGAACTAGCTGAGATTTGTACCAGGCAGGGACCTCTGGAGGTCTCCTGGGTCACTGCTACACTGTATTGTCCTTCAGGCTGATGTAGGTTGACCTTCCTGAATTGGAGTCTGATAGCTTGGTTCTACTGTTAGAAGTCTTCCTGGATTTAGGATGCACCCAAGTCCAAGTTAGCCAGCATGGCCACACTATCAGGAAGAGTCATGATAGAAGGGAACTGGCTGGTGGTTGGGTTTTGAGGAGGGGATGATCATGTGCATGTTGACCATTGAACACACCCGACCTGAGTGTTAACTTACTTTAACAAGGTCATCTCCCTTATGATTGGGGATTCCAGATGAGATATCTACAAGGACAATCAAGTATTTGTTTATTGATATTTATCAACTTGAAAGAGAGAGAGGGAGAGATCTTCCATCTGCTGATTCACTCCCAAAATGTCTGAAATTGCAAGGGCTGAGCCAGGCTGAAGCCAGGAGTCTGGAACTCCATGTGGGTTTCCCAAGTCCTTGAGCCATCATCTGCTGCCACCCAGGATGCATTAGCGGGGAGCTGGATCAGGAGTAGGCAGGACATGGGCCAGTGCTTGTGACTGAACCCACTGTACCACAATGCCTGTCCCAGGGGCAACTCTTGAGGGAGCCAACCCTCCTGCCCAGTTGGGAGATCTTTGAGAAGTGATGAAATGAAATTCCATCAGATTCAGTTCTGGGAGGCAGATGGGTCAGCCTGTGCGTTCCAGTTTAGATTAGCTCTTTGAGGATTTGTGCCTGAAATTCCTCCTTGTGGAACTCTGATGCTCACTTAAACTCTTTTCCAAGCCCTCCTCCCCTCATCCATGGATAGCAGGAAGGGAACAACCAGAGTGGACACGATGGTCTCTCTGCTGGAAGGGGGCCGGTGCAGGGGCCAGTCACGTGGATACCGCGAGGGAATGAACTTGGAAAGGTCACACACCTGATTTTCTCAACCTGCAGTCAGACCCACAAACCTCGGTATTAGCCTCTTGCAGGTGAGAGCCACCACAGTGCTGGTTGCTGGGACTGGTTTCTCAGACTTTGGGGACTGCTCCAGGCTTGGGTACCTATCAGACCCAGAACTGGGGAAGGCTGCCCACAGCCCTGCCCACCACCTTGCACATATGCAGTAGACTCCATCAGTGGTAGCTCCATCCTTGGGTCAGTTTGTATAGGGCTACTGGCAGCTCCCTGGACCATGCCACCATTCTGAGTCTGCACCATTTCCTGGACTGTGTCACCCTAGGCCCAGCCCCTTAAATTACAAGTACAAGAGAGAGAAGAGTCAGCTCATCCTGCAGGGGGCCTGGCTTCCTGCTTGTCCCATCAGGCACAGAGATGCCCCCCACTGGAACAGCGCCTCTTAATCCTCTCCTCCTAGGGTCTTGGGAACTCACTTCAGGATAAGCTGGGGCTGCTTTTGTCCATTTTTAGAAAGGAGCTGTTTGGATTTTGCACATAGCTGCGAAAATAAAAACAGGACTTCCACTGCTGGGGCTTGAGGAAGAGTTTTGCAACTCAAACCCCAAAGGAGAAGTATGGGCTCGCCTCGCTTCCCCCTGACAATAGAGATTAATGTTTCCCTGACACAGGCAGTGGGAATTAAAATAGACCTTTGCCAGGCCCTCAGAGTGGGGTGGGGGATAGAGAGAAGCTGACTGGTGAAGGTGGACAAAGTCACCCTGGGCTCCTGTGGGAAATAAGACAACTCAGGGGCAGGTGCAGGCCCTTGAACCTGAATGTTGGTCCTGGCTCTGGAGGAAGCCTCCTGCTTGAGCCACACAGTGCTGGAGACCCAGTGTGGGAGGCAGGAGGCAGATAGGTGTCAGTCCCAGGCCTTGCCTTGCTCGCCCAAGCCCTCCCCCATCCCTCTCCCACCTGCCCCTCTGACGCCTTTCTCTCCCCTTCTTACCCTCTTCTAGGTGGGGGACTGTGGCTGGAGGGAGGATCTGGGAGAGAACTCAAGAGAGAAAGGGAAAAAGGAAGGAGAAGGAAAAAGATAAAGACAGGAGGACTTGGGAATCGAGAGTGGGGAGAAGAGAAGGTAGGCAGTCCCAGAGGGCTGGAAGTTGGGGGAACACGGATGTCAGTAGAAACCTGGTCTAAACACTTCCACCTGAATTAAGTAAATTCTTGTATTAGAATGGCAGCCCAGTGGCAGGCATGAGAAGGTGCCCTCAGAGCTCCAGCCATGGGCAGAGAAGTTGACCCCTGTGCTCTTAATGAACTGAACGTAGGAACACCAACGCAGCTGCACCTGGGAGACGGCTCCATGACGCTCCAGTGGCTTTGTCCAAGTTTTCCTCACCTGTCTCCATGTCATGCTCTCTCGTTGCATTCCCGTTTCCCTTGCGGGTGTTGGGTTTTCCAATACCTCTGTCACATGTCACGTCCCTTCCCTGTTGGAGTATCAGAAACAGCAGAAACCCTTAAACCTGGCTACCATTGTGTTTGTATTACAGATGAGAAAGTCAAGGCACAGAGAGGTTAAGGAATGGCTTCAAATTTCATAATGTGGATATAGCAGAGCTAGGACTTAAACCCACACACCTGCCCTCACAGATCTGGGAGAAATGCTCAGAGGGCTACAAAGTCTGGGGCAGAGCCTGGGCAGGATGACACCTGCTTCTCTATTTCCACACCTTTGACATTGCTGGGCCCTGATACCTTTGCCCAGAGGCGGCTCCTTAGCTTCATGCCAATCACCCCCAAGGAGAATGTATCCTGCTGACCAGGGAACAGGGATGCCTGGGTCCTGAGAGGCCTCAGTGGGCAACACCCTGCACAGTTGGGAACAGAAACTGCTGGGCTGAGATTCCAGCCTGAGTCTGTCTTGGTGCATAAAAATCCCGTTCTCCCAAGTACCAGAGGTGGAAGAACCTGGAAGGGAGGGAGATCACAGAAGCGGTGATGGGGGCGGTGATGCTGTGGGATAAGGAGAGAGGAGCCGGCGCCGCGGCTCACTAGGCTAATCCTCCGCCTTGCGGTGCCGGCACACCGGGTTCTAGTCCCGGTCGGGGCGCCAGATTCTGTCCCGGTTGCCCCTCTTCCAGGCCAGCTCTCTGCTGTGGCCAGGGAGTGCAGTGGAGGATGGCCCAAGTACTTGGGCCCTGCACCCCATGGGAGACCAGGAGAAGTACCTGGCTCCTGCCATCGCATCAGCGTGGTGCGCCGGCCGCAGCGCGCCGGCCGTGGCGGCCATTGGAGGGTGAACCAACGGCAAAAGGAAGACCTTTCTCTCTGTCTCTCTCTCACTGTCCACTCTGCCTGTCAAAAAAAAAAAAAAAAAAAAAAAAAAAAGGAGAGAGGGTGCACCTTGGAGACACCAGGCTGCTCCCAGGGGCCCTGCAGGTGACAGCAGGCCAGGAGGGCATTTGCGTGGCCCCTCTGGCAGTGGGGGCTGTGTGGGAAAGGTCCACCTGAGAGTGGGCGGGGCGGGGACTTGCCCACGGGTAAGCAGATGTCTCTAAGCCCGTAGATTGCTGCTCTGCCACGCAGTCACCAGCTTCTCACCTTGGCCACACCCCCCGGGGACTTGTGGCTCCCCGCCAGCAGCTCCCTGGGTTCCTGTGGGAGCTCCCTGCTTATTTCTCAGCAGACCGGAGCTTGCTCCCCAAGCTTGCCCTCTTGCTGCTCGGAGGAGAGTACGTGCGTGCATGTGCATATGTTCCCCTGTGCACCTGCCTATGGCCCCATTCCCTCCCCCATGGATGGATGAACAGCCCCCAGCACAGGAATCATGACAGTGTCACCATGGTGACGGTTGGGTTAAAGACCACCAGCCAGCGCTTTGAGGCTTTTCAGGAGGTGACAGTCAGGGAAAGAGGCTCCAGCCAAGGCCATCCCCTTTTCCTCTCTGGGGCTGTGGCCTTGGACTGGGAAGGGCTGGGTGGGTGGGGAACAGGCTGTGAGGTCCAGGCTGGGAGGCTGAGCCATGAGAAGCTGAGGCAGGGGAGTGGGTTAGCAGGTGGTCCCCAGGCGGTGCTGGGGAACAGGAGGCTGACCTTGGTGGTGGCAGGGGTAGGGGCGGGGTGGGGTTGCTGAGGCAGTAGGTGGAGCTGTGCAGAGTGGGAGCTGGGAGGGGCTGTTTGTTGGAGGGTCTGGGCTGAAGGAGAACGGGGAGAGGCAACCGTGAGGGTTGACTGGGTAAAGTGGAGGGAGAAGAGGTCTTGAGGGACTACTTTTGGCCACCATTTCCTGTGTGTCTGTCACCTTGTCCACAGCTAACAGCACACCTGTGGGATCCAGTCCTGCCTGGCCACTAAGGCCACAGAATCACCATCCCTAATGCTTCCGCCTTCACTTTCTCCCTTTGACCTTGCATGGCCAGAGGCTGTGCCACACCCTGAGGCAAGCTGGCCCTCTTTCATTCCTTCTTTTCAAATCCACTCTCATCTATCTGATACCTACGCTGTACTGAGGGGGTTGGAAAAGTCACAGGGAATTTGAACCTAGTCTTTCTTCTGGTCTACCTTTCAAACATCTGAAATCCATGGGCAATGGTAACAAGAAGAGTCCCCCTCTCCTTTCTTTCCAGATTCCTCAGATCCTTTTTGTAGGAGAACGGAGAGCATGGGCAGTGTGGCCACGAATGTGCAGACTGTGGTGGGTCCCAGAGAACAAGGCTCAGCCCCTGCCCCCGGGGATGCTACAGGATCCTCCATCACTTGTAAGCTCCAGTGGCAAAGGGGGTCTGTGGGCAGGGTCCTGAGAAGGAGTGAGGCTTCCGAGAGTGAATGGATCTGGGCTGGCCATAGGCAGCATCCTGGAGTCCTGTAGTGTGGCATGGAGGCTGCAGAGTGAATTCCAGTCCTTGGTGTGGCAGGGAGGAGCGAGAAGATCAGCTGGACCCGATAGGGCCAAAGCAGACACAGCAGCCAGGCCACATATACTCCCCCACTGAGGGTCGATGGGAAGGTGCCCATCTGGGTGGGCAAGGGGATTTACCAGCTGGTTACATTGAGCTGCAAGTAGTAGAAAACCCAGTAGAAGGGCGTGAATCAGTGAGAAGCTCTGAGTCTAGTGGTAGGAATTCCTTAGAGTGGGCAGCCCAAAGGGTTACAGCGCCAAGACGAGGTCTGCAGGATCCAAGCACCTGTCCCTTCCTTTACCATTTGCAATGGTTTGAGTTTCAGGTGTAGCCAATGTGTTGGTGTTAAGAGGTGGGGCCTTTAAGAGGTGATCAGGCCATCAAGGCTTCTCCCTTGCTGATGGAATTTAGGCCCTGATTCTCGGAGAGTTTCTCAGCTTGCCCTTCTGCTTTCTGCCATGTGAGAGCTATTGACCGATACACAGAGACTGGTTGGAAAATCAGTTACATTTCATTCATGGAGTCAAAATGAGCATTTAAACCCAGAAGTAGTTGCCTGAGCTGGCTGCTCTGCAAGCCTGAGTTTGGTTACCGTGTTTATTCTTTTCTTACAGGAGCAGTATGAGCACTGGATCAGATTTATACGGGACAGACTTAGGCATGGTTAGCAACCACAGTGAAAATCAGAGTACCTCACTGTACACCTCGCAGCAGCTGGGCCTGCACTGCTGAGGAAGAAGGGACATGACGTTCCCACTCTCATTCCCAGCCTGCATGCCAGCAATATGAAGGAGAGGCAAACAATGAGGTCATTAATCACCCTTCCTAAGAGGGCCCTGAGATGTAAAACTCACTCCTTAAAGCACCATAGAGGTTTTCTTGGTCAGGGTTAGAGTGGGTGCAAAGGTCATGGTAGCTGGGAACCGGTTGCCAGACATTTTCACAGCATCAGACAGATTGGCTGACTTGTGCCTCTGCAGTCGCCATTCCACTCTTGGGTCCGTAGGGTGCCTCGAGAAGGAGCTCAGCACAGCCAGGCCAGGGCCTTGATGGTGGCCTTCCCAGGCTCCGGAGCTGTGACGTGCATTTCTGCTGTCTGTCAATTAATCTGGGGATTCTGACATTCTGTTAGAGTAGCTCAGATGGTCTAAGACGTTGTTCTTTATTTAGAAAAAAAAGAGCAAATTTTGGGTTTCTGACTTAAGAAATAAATATGACCCATGAAAATGATTAATCTGAAATTGAGTCATGAATACAGAAGCAGTGCATCTTCTTTGAGCGCTTTTTGAAAATACAGCCTACACTGATCTTCTGTATATTAAGATAATCGAAAATGAATCTTGACGTGAATGGAGGGGGAGAGGGAGTGGGAAGGGGGGGGTTGTGGGTGGGAGGGACGGTATGGGGGGGGAAGCCATTGTAACACATGAGTCGTACTTTGGAAATTTATATTCATTAAATAAAAGATAAAAAAAAATAAAAAAAATAAACAAATGGAAAAAAAATTCTATTTCAAAGCAACTGCTGTTAATACTATTATAATTTTTGTTTGAATTAGAAAATAAAATTACTACAAAATTGTTCAAAAAAAAAAAAAAAGAAAATACAGCCTACAGATATTGACGTGCTGCTAAGCATAGCTACTCCTACAACTTCAGGCTGCCTCCAACCCAGGCAGACGTCAAGATTCTATCACTAGAAACTCAATCACTGTGTTTCTTGCTGACTTAATTTTACCCCAGTAAACCTTCAGCACTTTAAAAATAAACATGGTGTGCAGTGTGAACAGCAGTGGCAGTCTTCAAGGGTGCACAGAGCAGAATGCCACCCCCACCTCCTCTGCTCCCCCTCTATTCATACGCTAGTAGGCAGAACAGTGACACAGTGGGGTTTCAGCCAACACCAGGCCAGGTATATGTCATCTTAATTTATGTCAATCCATGATACGATGTTGACCCCTTTACGAACCCATCTGACAATGCATTTCTCAGAACTCATCCTGTTGTTAAGCGACACATGACTGTACTTGGACATAGGACTTCAATCAAAATTAACTCATCTTTAATCCGACCTTTCATAAATTTTTTTGAAATATCCTTGTGTAACTTCAAGTCCCTCTTAGGCCCTGTGGTGGGTCCAGATCTACATGTGCAGCTTAGCACAGCTGGGGATACCTGCCTTTGTCTTTGAGGTCACACGCTACAAACCCTCACCCTGTTCTACTCCAGAAGATGGGGGAGAAGAGGGGCGTCTGGGGTGGGTTCCCAGATCCTGGAATTAAGGCCCTCATAGTTGTCTCATACACCAAGGAGGGGAAAAGGCATTGGGGCAGCATGATTCCTCCTTGAGATGGGGGGCAGTGAGGGACAGGGGTTGGGGGTCCAGGAGGCTTACAAATTTACTAGGATTTACCAGGCCATTCCTGCATGCTTGATGTCATCACACCGGCCTCTTAGCTCTCCCTGAAACAGGCTGAGCTGGTTCCCACCACAGGCCAGGGGCACCTGCTCCTTCCTCTGCCTGGGAGTGCATCCCTTAACCTTGGTCTCTGCTTCAGCGTCCTCTCTACCGATGGATCCTTATAAATGTGGCGTGGAAAGTCCCCAAGAGCGAGGCTAACGTTGTGTGATATGTGGAAGGAATGTGAGAGAACAGGAGGGCCAGGGGGAGGTTTCCTTAACTTTGGGGAAGCTGGATTGTACCTTATGGGGCAACCGTCAGAGGAAGAGGGAAGTGAGGCCATGTTGGGCCCCTGCGTTGGGCTGGGCACTGCCCTTTTCCCTGCCACTCCCTACTTTCTTCTCAGCACTGAGGTAGGTGTCAGCACCTGCTGTTTCTCACCAGTAAACTACAGTCCGAGGCAGGTAGGTGATTTCCAAAGACCAACAGCCTCAGAGGAGGGATGTCTAACATTCAAGTTCATGCTCGTCTGCATCAGGGATGGGAGACTGAGGAGGGACAAGGGCAGATGCTTATGGATGAGGGAGGACAAGGTGGCCTGGGGTTCCTGCTGGCCTCTCTGAAGCTCTGTGAAGGCAGAGATGCTGGGCCCCGGGGGAGCTCATCTGTGATCCTCAGAGAGCAATCGTGAGGCAGGTGCTCCCTGAGCCTGGGAGTGGCCCAGAGGGACCCGAGCTGATGGACTGGAACTCCCCCAAAGGCCCAGGTGTATAACCTGGGCTGTGCTGCTGGCATTGCGTTTAGGGTGTGTGCACACAGTGTTTTCAGTTCTCCTCTCTTGCTAGGAAGGGCACAGGAGATTTCAAAGGTTCTTTCAATCCCTGATTGCTGTGACTGTGCCACTCCTAGGGAGCGTGTCCCAAAGCCCTTTGTTGTATAAGGTTTTGGTCCTGTCTGGTTGGGTCATGCCCCTTCAGGTACAGTATCTGAATGCCTTTAGGAAGTAGCTGAATTGAGCGCCATAAAAACCCTAGAGAATTGCCTTGGCCTCAGCGGTGTGCACCGGGTAACGATGTACTAATGCGCTGTCACTTCTGCTGCCACTGACCATTCATGTGAGTGACCATGATCAACGTACTGCAGCCAAGAGCCCCTGCCTCGATGTGACGTCCAGACTTCATAACATCCAGCTAGCTGCTGGTGGGCAGTCCTTTCCCATATTTCATTAAAATGCTACCAAACACATGGGAGAAGGCAAAAGTGGCCAATAATGACACCGACAAAGACAGAAGACATCCAGGCTAGAATTGGGGAGGAATCTGTCTTTCCTGTGAGGCTGAGCTATTTTAAGAGAAACCACCACGGGTACTGCCTTACGAAACAGAAAAATAGAAAATGACAGAGCAGGGAAAATATTTGTGACATATGTCACAGCTGAAAAAGGTTATCATATTTCCTCTATAATGAGCTCGTAAAACCAATTCTGAAATGTCAGGCACACAAATAATAAATACGCCTCATGGTGCAAGAGACACCAAAAGGCAATTCACACACATATAAAATTTATTGATTTGTTCAGTTATTGGGTGTTGAATTCCTGCCACGTGTCAGGCACCATTTGAGGCACCATGGGCCTGGCCTTTATGTCCCCATGTGGCAAACAAACAAGAAATAGACAAATATATAATATAACGTCAGGTAGTGATAAAGAGGGAGAAAACAGGCACAGTTAAGAAGAGGGACAGGGAGTGGTGGTGTGTGTGGGTGCCGTCTGTGTTATCCTGAAGGCAGAGGCAACAGTATCCGTATTTTGGGTGGGTGATTTGTGAGACTCCATTGGTAGAGAGGACGCTGAAGCAGAGACTAAGGTTAAGGGATGCACTCCCAGGCAGAGGAAGGAGCAGGTGCCAGTGGCCTGTGGTGGGAACCGGCTCCGCCTGTTTCAGGGAGAGCTAAGAGGCCGGTGTGATGACATCAAGCATGCAGGAATGGCTTGGGATATGAGTCTGGGAAAGTAGGCAGGAGGGGATGGCGCAGGGTCTCATGGATCCTAGTGGAGGGTCATTATACGCGAGGTGGGCACCATGGGTGGTCTCGAGTGAAGAAGTGACGAACCTGACTGTGGGATCCAGAGGACCCCCTCCCCGCCCTGGGGCCGTGCAGTGAATGCCCAGCTGGGTGGGAGCAGGGAGGCAGGTGTGGAGCTGTCCCAGGGAGATGGTGACGGGTGGGGTGGGGGACTGAGGTGGAGGCGGTGAGCCAGGATCTGCTTTGAGATACGTGGTTCTGAGTCTTGCGTGTTAGAAAGTAGAATGTCAAGGCAAAGAGGGGCGCCCAGGATGACTCTTAGGTTTTTCAGACCAGAGCAACTGCTTCTCTCACTTGAGCTACTGTGGGGTAGCTTAGAACGTGGTTGCCAAGTCAGCAAGTTAAGCAAACAGTGAGTCATGGGGAGACTGAGATGTCCCGGCGGGCGAGCGAGTGGGGCCCTCGTGGAGAAGGAAACTAGCTTCTGGGTCCGGCCAGACTGCCTCATTTGGAAGGCACTGATAGAACATTGGCCAGAAGCCAGACACCACCGTCCTTGCTATTTTTTTTTTTCAGTGAACTTTTTCATCTTCTCTCATTCAGTCCCATTCAGCAAAATAAAGGAAGGACTGAAAACACAGGTTTCTCATGAAACAAATTTAATTTTCTTCCAGAAATGAAAAGGTTTATTATTTATTTGAAAGACAGAGAGGCAGAGGCAGAGGTAGTGGCAGAGAAAGAGAGAGCAGTCTTCCATCTGATGGTTCACTCCCAAAATGGCCACAACGGCTGGAGCTGGGCTGATCTGAAGCCAAGAGCCAGGAGCTTCTTCCAGGTCTCCCACGCAGTTTCAGGGGCCCAAGCACTTGGGCCATCTTCCTCTGCTTTCCCAGGTGCATTAGCAGGGAGCTGGATCGGAAGTGGGGCAGTCAGGACTCAAACTGATGCCCATATGCAATGCTGGCACTGCAGGCGGTGGCTTTACCCATTATGCCACATCACTGGCCCCAGCAGTTAAACTTTTAAGTTAAAAGTCTCACGATCCAGTTGTTGGAATGAGAATCAGAGAGCAGTGGAGCAACCTTATGGACACCTTGGGGAGATCTGCCCCTTCTGTTGTGAGCCAGTGCCTGTAGCTAACAGCCCTGGTTCTAGAAGTTTCTTTCCACCCATTCTGTTCCAAGTACCTTTCAATATTTGCATAAAGTTTTCTCACTCCCTAATCCATCAAGTCCCAAGTTTTCAACTCAGAGAATATTTCAGTGACATAATATTTATTTTGAAGTTATCCTAAGTGGTATATTTATTGCTCAATTTTTGTTTTTATAGGTAACCTGGACCTAGAATGATGGGGTGTAATGGTTTAAGGTGCTCATGTACAGCTCCTCAACACACAGTAGCTAAGGTATGGAATCAACCCAGATTCTATATATTCATCTATAAACTGATGACTGGGTAGAGAAATTGTGGTGTATATATACAATGGAATACTACTCAGTGGTAAAAGAGAATGAAATCCTGTCTTTGGCGACTAAAGGGTTACAACTGGAGACTGTTATGCTTAGTGAAATAAGCCAGTTTCCAAAAGACGAGTAAGGAATATACAGAGTACAAAACCAGTAATGTATATGAACAAAATTGACATTTTGAGATTTGATTATTTTACAGCAGTATCCATACTCCTGAGGAACAGTGGGTTTTCATTGAATTCTTTATTTAGTAGAAGATTAAGCTTGTGATTATAAATAAATTGAAAGCACATCATTGTAAACATTAAAAGAAAAATAAGAAAGGAACGAGGGTAGGAGTGGGGGGGGGAGGGTAGGAAGTATCATCATGCTCATTTATTTATGTATTTTTTATTTTTTTATTTTTTGACAGGCAGAGTGGACAGTGAGAGAAAGAGACAGAGAGAAAGGTCTTCCTTTGCCGTTGGTTCACCCTCCAATGGCCGCCGCGGCTGGTGTGCTGCGGCCAGCGCACCGCGCTGATCCGATGGCAGGAGCCAGGTACTTATCCTGGTCTCCCATGGGGTGCAGGGCCCAAGTACTTGGGCCATCCTCCACTGCCTTCCCGGGCCACAGCAGAGAGCTGGCCTGGAAGAGGGGTAACTGGGAAAGAATCCGGCACCCCGACCGGGACTAGAACCCGGTGTGCCAGCGCCGCAAGGCGGAGGATTAGCCTAGTGAGCCGTGGCGCCGGCTTCATCATGCTCTTAAAACTGTATATATGAAATACATTTAATTTGTTTTCTTTATATAAATTTAAAAACATTTTAAAAATAAAAAACAAAAGATGCTCATGCATGCTTCTTTTACCGTGCCATTCTCTTGGCCTCACACGTGACCCCTTCTTTGCCTAGAGAACACCTTACCCATTTGGGGTTGATGTTTGTGGAGGGGGACGGGTTAAGCCACTTTTGACACTGGCATCCTCTGTGAACATTTCTTCAAGTCCTGGCTGCTCCACTTCCAATCCAGCTCCCTGCTAATGTACCTGGAAAAGCAGTGGAAGATGGCTTAAGTGCTTGGAGCCCTGCCACCCACATGGGACACCCAAATGTAGCTCCTATCTCCTGGTTTTGGCCTGTCCCAGCCCTGGTCATCATGGCCATTTGGGCAGTGAACCAGCAGATGGAAGATTCTCTTTCTCTCTCTTTCTGTAACTCTGCCTTTCAAATAAAGAATCTCTAGAAACGAAAAGACTCAGCTCTGAAGTCATATCCCTGTGCTACTACTCAATGCAAAGCATGCATATTTATTCATTTCTCAATCTGCACATAAATATTGGAGCGTTGAGAGCTGAGGGCTGGTCTCATCATCTTTGGAATAAGCTGTGGATCTGGTCCCACACATTCTATCTGCTATGCGTTCAGTAAGTGTTTTGTAATACACTGATTTCATATGTGTGTATCAAAAGCTAAACAGTTCCCATACCCTTGATGTGGTTATCTCCAGGTAGGGAATTCATGTAAAGGTAATAACTGGACAGGAGAAAGGAAATGACACAAATGAATGGGCTGAAAAACTATGTATTTGCTAAGTATTGGAAACAAGTTAAATGTTTATCAACAGAGTAACAGAAGTTATTGTACATGATCCCAAAGGACTATAACTCATTTTCTTGTTGATTAAACAAACATGCAGACTGCCAAGGAGGTATAAATACACAGCAATGGATCAGTCACCTCACCTGCCTTCAATGAGTACGCAATCAAATGAGAGTTACAAATCTACATGGAAACAAAAGTTGTGGGGATCTAATGTTTAAAAGGAGCAGATCATAAAACTACACATTATGACTGCAACTCAGCATGTAGGGAGAATGAGCAAGGTCTGGATGGGCAAATGTAGGAATGAAAATATTTGCACAGTTAGATCATGAATTTTTTTTTAAACGTTATTACATAGTTTTTGAGCTTTAAAGTTTTAGGCCATCCCAGATGTTTACTGAAAAAAGAAACCTGCTTCCATGGTCCTGGCTGTCCAGGTTGGCAATGTCATGAATAATGGAGAAATGGAGATTTTTTTTTTTCCCCTCATGACCAGCCCCGTGAGGCACCTGAGAGGGTTGGGTCAGGGAAGGTTGTCAACCCACAGATGTAGAAGTGTCCACTGAGTGTCGCTGTAAAAACCAGTCCCCTCTGAGGCTGGCCTACGTCCTGTAGCAGAGCCTGCAGGCTCCTCTAGCTCCGTGAGTACCACCACTTGGGATGTGCAACTGTGCGAGGCTGGGGGAAAGATGAAGTAGACAAGAGGCTTGGAACCTGCACGAATTGGTGGCTGATTCCTTCTGTTGGAAAGGATGCTCTCTAGGTAACAGGTACCATTACCCTCCTTCTACAGATGAGGGAACGTCCCATAGGCAAGTGACAGAGTTGGAATTGGAATCCGTTGCTTCTTATTTTGGGGCAGGGTTCTTTCTATTTCTCCCCTCTGGGCCTGGGAGCAGGTGGAGATGCAGAGCTCATCTGGCAGGGACCTGGCTGACAGGGTGGGTAGAGTCGTGTGAAAGGGAGGCCGTGGGGAATCTGGGTGATGTACAGTGGGGGCTGGATGACGGAGGGTCTCAGAGGTCAGGCTGGTAAGTTTGGACTTGATGCAGTGAGAAATGGAGAGCTCTTGTAAAGTTGAGGACGTGAAAGCAGGCAGGTTAAGGAAGACGAGGCTGGCAATGGTGTCTGCTGGTGCAATCAGGGGAGAGGCTGGGTCAGGCTGGTGGTAAGGATGTTGTGTAGCTCTTACTCTGGCCGATCAGAACAGTACCAGCCCTTCCAGCATCTTGGAAACCTGCCGTCCTGCACCTCAAACCATGAGGTCAGATGGAAGCTCCCTTTATCCCTGTTGGCCAATGAGAACCCTCCCTGGGAATTTTGTCTTTGGGACCAGGGAGGGATGAGGCCCCTCTCTGGAGATAAAGTGGTGAGAGTGGAAGACCTGTCACTACTCAGAGACCTGAGGACCTGGGGTGGGGGGGACCTACAGCTACATTCAAGCCACAGTTTCCCTTCATTCTCAGGGCTCAGCCGCTGCTTTGCTGATGTCACGACGTGAACAACACTCACCACCCCCTTTTTAATGAAGCTAGTCTGGGTTTAATTTTCATCATTTATATTTTTTAAAGAAAGTCCTAACAATTGCGATAAGAGACATGTTTGACCTTAATCATTCCAAGTTCGAGCACAGTTCGCAGAAACACTCTGAGGTTGTTTTGTGAGCATCGGGGAACAATAAAAATCTGTTCGCAGTCTTCCATGTCAGACTTAGGAACTGTGAGCTCTGTAGAGACAAGACTTCGGGGATCCTTCAGAGAAGGAGGGACGCGTCTCCATCACTCGTGTAGTGAGTGAAATTGCTGCTGACAATGCTTTCCTGCCTGCTCCTCTGCGACTCAGATGGGGAGAAACTGACGTGGACTGGACGGCCGCACAGGACAGCCTGGCATTTCCTGGACAGGTGGCGAAGGTATCGTCTGAACTTCTGTCCAGCAAATGCATAGATAAGGGGATTGAGGCAACAGTGGCTAAATGCCACCGTCTCGGTCACACTGAGGGCCAACCTCAGGTCCCTCTTCATGTCACAGTTGGGAAAGAAGCCATAGAGCTTGAGTGTCTCCAGGAAAATCATAACATTGTAGGGTGTCCAGAAGAGGAAAAACACGATGACTACCAGTAGGATGAGTTTGATGGCTTTGGCTTTCTTGTGGTTCTTGCAGGAAAACAGGGTCTGGATGATTCGGAAGTAGCAGTAACTCATGATAAGTACGGGGAGCAGGAAGCCAAGGAAGTTGGCTTCTGTGTTCCGAAGCACAGGCCAGATGTCCTGCAGGACCTCGGGGTAGTCACCCAGACATTCGTTTCCTTTTTGCTTTGTGAACATGAACTGGGGAGCCGCCACCAGGATGGCTGCTGCCCAGACGCCGAGGCTGGTGGTGACGCCATGCTGCACAGTCCGGTTGTTAATGGAGTTGGCGGCCAAGACAATGGCCATGTACCTATCGATGCTGATGACAGTGATGAAGAATATGCCCCCAAAGAAGCCAATGAAGAACAGAGCCGTCGTGAGTTTGCACACGGCGTTGTGGAAGCCTTGTTCACTTATCACATAGTGAGTCCAGAAGGGCAGGGTGGCCACGAAGAGCAGGTCAGACAAGGCCAGGTTGAGGAGGTAAATGTCTGTGATGCTCTTGGGCTTCCGGCTGCTGGTGAGGGCACATACCACCAACAAGTTCCCCACCAAGCCAAAGGCAAAGACGAGGGAGTAGAATATGGACAGGAAGATGGTTCCGAAGGCCACGATGTCCCCTATGAAACAGGCTTCTGAAGACTCATCGTACTCAAAGCTTTCGGTAGCCCAGTCAGAGTAGAGGGTGGTCATGGTGAGGTCCTGGATCAGAAAGGGAAACAAGTCACAGCGTTAGTGCTCAGAGGGACACAGTGGGAATTCTGTCTGGCGTCTTCCGAGGCAGGCAGGAAGCTGCAGGTGTTGGTTGGGTGTGCATGCTGCCACCTTTCGCCCCACCCCTTCCTGCCATGGGGACTGCATCAGACTCCACGGTCAGCAGAGGAAACAGGTCTCTGAGAGGTTCAGTGGCTTGGCCAGGGTCACACAGTACATGGCTCAGGGAGCATTGAAACTTGAAACAGATATTTTTTTGTTTTGACTATTGAAAGTGTCTTTAAAAGGGAGGTGGCTAGACTGGTGGGTGGATGGAGCAGAGAGGATCTGGGCGGGAGTTGAGAGGTGGGGTGGAGTGGGATAATGGGGGTGCAGCCATAACTCACCCCTGGTCCTCGCTTCCCCAAAGCAGTCCTCTGTCTCTTCCCGCATTTCTGCCTTCTCCACCCCCAGCCCCTCAATTCTCCTTCCTGAACTTGGGGCTGGAAGGAGAGGTCTCAGACACAATCCCTGAACCTCAAGCAGACCAACATCCGGATGGCCTCATCTTTGTTTCTTAACTTTTTTTTTTTTTTTTTTTTTGACAGGCAGAGTGGACAGTGAGAGAGAGAGAGACAGAGAGAAAGGGCTTCCTTTGCCGTTGGTTCACCTTCCAATGGCCGCCGCGGCCGCTGCGGCCAGCACACTGCACTGATCCGATGGCAGGAGCCAGGTGCTTCTCCTGGTCTCCCATGGGGTGCAGGGCCCAAGCATTTGGGCCATCCTCCACTGCACTCCCTGGCCACAGCAGAGAGCTGGCCTGGAAGAGGGGCAACCGGGACAGAGTCCGGCGCCCCGACAGGGATTAGAACCAGGTGTGCTGGCGCCTCAAGGTGGAGGATTAGCCTAGTGAGCCGCGGCGCCGGCCCTGTTTCTTAACTTCTTTTTACAGATTTTAAATTGACATGTAATCATTGTGCGTATTTGTGGGGTACAATGTGACGCTTTATGGGTATACATGTATACAATGTGTAATGATCAGGGTAATTGGTATTCACTTCAGACAGCTGTCATTTCTTTGTGTTGGGAGCATTGAAAACCTTCTTTCCTAGCGATTTTGATATATATATATGCTAACGGTTGTCAACCATTAGGAGTGATTTCCCCTCTTTCCCTGCACCCACTAACAATTCTCTCTTTGTGGGACCCCACCTTTGTGTTTTGAGAACCGCTTCTCCTTTCTTTTGGAACTAGCAAGTCTTTCTCTTCCTTAGCAGGGATCAGAGAGTCATGCAAAGGTGCTTCCGAAAGTTCTTGGGGGGGTGGGGGTGGGCAGTTAGTCTAGCAGTTAAGATACCAGTTCATATGCCCACACTTCACGTCGGAGTACCTGGGTTAATAACTGGCTCCAGCTCCTGACTCCAGCTCCCTGCTAAATGCAGACCTGAGAAGCAGCAGTGATGGCTCAAGGGATCGAGCTCCTGACACCCATGAGAGAGACTTTGATCGTGTTCCTTGTTTCTGGCTTTGGTCCAGCCCAATCCGGGCCTTTGTGAGCATTTGGGGGAATGAACAGCAAACGGAGGCACATGTGCTCACTCTCTTTCTGTCTCTCTGCATCTCAAATACATTAAAACTATTGTAAGTTCATAGAAAAATGAAAAGACCATTTTAAAAAATATTTATTTATTTGAAAGGCAGTGTTACATACAGACAGAGAGGTCCTTCATCCTCTCGTTTACTCCCCAAAAGGCTGCAATGTCCAGAGCTAAGCCAATGCAAAGCCCGGAGGCAGGAGCTTCTTCTGGGCCTCCCACGTGGGTGCAGGGATCCAAGCACTTAGACTATCTTCTGCTGCTTTCCCAGGTACATTAGCAGGGAGCTGGACAGGAAGTGGAGTAGCAGGGACTTGAACTGGTACCCATGTAGGATGTAGGCACCACAGGCGGAGGCTTAATCTATTACGCCCCAAGATCCATTTATTTCAATGCAAATGTTTGAAATCCATGCATTTTTTTCACAACAGGAATTTTCCATGAACTTTTTGAAGACCTCTCATATGCATGGAGTTCAATATTTTTTGAACCAAAATAAACGTATTTAATTCCATTTATCCAAGAATGTTTTGAAGCCCCGTTGTGCACGCCAGGGTAACTCACTTGTTCTGGGTTGCCTAGGACTCTGCTGGTGAGAACCCACCAGTCCCAACAGACCAGGATGGTTGGGCATCCTACAGCCCCCAGTGAGGAGCAAGTGTTGCTGTGATCTGGGCTGTGTGACGGTTCCAAGGTGGAGGATGGGATTCCACTAGCCTGCTGGGTGGGGCCCCAAGTGGCTGACTGCCCAAGCATTACTGACCTTGGCCTTCCCCACTGGTTTTATCTCCTGTTTCCTTCTGAGCTAGAACTGAAAAAGGAGACACTTCTGCACTGGTTGGGTTAGGGTTCCACTCTCCCTCTCTTCCCAGCCAGAGCTGGTCCTTCACTCCAGAGCTGGTAGACAAGGCAGTCTTGTCACCTTGCCCATCTGGGTGCCACCTCCTCTTCATAGCAGACAGGTCCCTCAGGAACTCCCAGGGTCCCTCTGATTGTCACCTGCCACACTTTTCACCACAACTGAAAGCAAAGCTCGCAGTTCTGTAACCAAGGGAGTTTCCACACCCGCTGTGCCCTGCTTGTGATGGTTTTACCCAAGCGGTGTCTCTGCCACCGTGAGGACCCACCCAGCCCGTGGGTCGCTTCTCCCTCCCCGCCTCTGCTGTGGGTTCTGCATCCACCCAGGCCCTTCCAGCATGAGCTGGGCTAACACCTTCCACCCTGGGCCGTCTCAGGCCGGGATGGGGTTCTCAACCCCAGGGAAGGTGTATGCTTCCTTCTCTTCAGGCTGCAGTACCCTTTTCTCAGAGAGGAATCTCTGGCTGTGAGCTTAATCGGAGCTATTTAAGTGGAAGAGTATTAAATGGCTGACAGGAAGCTGTTACGGAGACCACGCGCATGTCGGGTCCATATGACTCAAGCCTGTGGAATTGCTGCTCGTGCATGCCCTTGCTGCACAGTGCTCTCTTCCCAGGCTGGCTGCTGCCTAAGGACAGAAGCAGTGAAGTCCTGGGGCGAGGGAGGGCGTGCGTCAGAGACCCCAGGGCTGTTCACCCTCTCCTTCTCGTGACAGAGCTGCAGAGCTGACCGCGAGAGAAAGCCAAAGTCCTTAGAGATCATCGTCGATCTCTCTGTGCCTGTGGTCATTCCTTCCGCCCAGGAACTCCTCCTTCTGCGCTCTCTGGCTGAGTGATGGGCGAGTTTGGACTCTCTGGGCCTGGCATTGCTCATCTCCAAGACTGGGGTTCATTCTCATGCCTGACCACATTTGCTAAGTGCAGGGGAGCACCTGTTCTATGTGTCGCATACTGCAGGCACTTAATAAATGCCAACACCGCTTTCTGGGGTAGGTGGGGAAGCAGATGTCTGTGACTTGTGGAGTCATCCAGGCTGCCTTGGATACTCATGTTTCACCCCCTCCTTGGGTATCTGGGGAATTGGGTCTTTAAAATTTATTTTAATTTTCCCCACTGAAATAAAAAAAATCGCTTTACTTTCAGATTATTTTGGCAGGGGTAGGGAGCAAGCTACCCTTGGTTGAAACTGTCAGACTCATGGCTAAACACTCCATGTGCATAATTATCTATTGAGTTCACTGCAATTCTGAAAGTCCCAGATAAATTCACTGCCCTGCCGAATGGTTCCAGGATCGTGTGACACAAATAAGAGGCTAGCTGGGACCCAAGTGTGTAGAAGGCAGTGGTAGCAGAGTGGCAAAGGGTCCCAAACCCCACCCCTCTTCTTGCTGGGTGCCAGGGTCAGGCTGCCACACACACAGGGCCCCTTTCTCTGTCCTGCACTGAGACTTAAGTAAAGCCAGAGGTGCTGGTTAAAGAGGTTCAATGCCCATTCAGCAAATGTGTTTGTAGCCCCAGTGGGCTCAGCTGAGTTGTGGCTCCCAGAAATGTCAGTGAACGCATCATAGCCAGGAGGTTCGTCATCTCAGTGGGGAAAATGCACACAAGCAAAGACTTTGACAGAATGGAGGAAACTGGTCAATTTATGCTGTGCAGATGAGATGCAATTACAGATAATGCACGGGAGGGGTGGCTGTGCCTGACCTGCGGTCGTGTTCTTTTTTGAGAGCCAGACAGCTGGTTACCGGGTACCAGTGTGGCTTGGGCCCACTCCCTGCCATGCAGTGATCAGCTTAGAGGACAGAGCAGCCTTCATCATGGCTTCTTATTGGCTCCCAGTCCCTAGCATAGGCCCCAGATCTGTCCCAGTTCCCACAGGTGATCCCCTGCTGAGCAATGGCACAGTCCTGTGCATACAGTAGGTGCATACTCAGCACATTGTGACGCCTGCCAATCTGTTCCATGCGATGGAGGAAAGAATGGCAGGAACATTGCTTCCAAAAAGCCCCCATGGCTGGGGAATTGCCGTAGTCTCCAGGGCGCCTGGCTTTGTTCTGTTGCAGGCATCTGGGGGGTAAACCAGCAGATGAGAGCTCTCTCTTTGTTTCTGTTTGTCTGTCTCTCTGTGTGTCTGTTTCTCAAATAAATAAATACATATTTTTTTTTTTGACAGGCAGATTTAGACAGTGAGAGAGACAGAGAAAGGTCTTCTTTTTTTCTGTTGGTTCACCCCCCAAATGGCTGCTACGGCCGGTGTGCTGCGCCGATCCAAAGCCAGGAGCCAGGTGCTTCCTCCTGGTCTCCCATGCGGGTGCAGGGCCCAAGCACTTGGGCCATCCTCCACTGCCTTCCGGGGCCACAGCAGAGAGTTGGACTGGAAGAGGGGCAACCGGGACAGAATCCGGCACCCCGACCGGGACTAGAACCCGGGGTGCCAGCGCCGCAGGCGGAGGATTAACCTAGTGAGCCGTGGCGCCAGCCAATAAATACATAATTTTTAAAGGTCATGAAAAATTTATATTATGAAAAAAATGCATGGTTTTCAAAAAAGTTTTTGCACCCAAATAAATCTCTTGTAATTTAATTTCTGCAGTTTTTTTGAAGTCATGTGTTCTGTTATGCTCAGTGAGGTACCCTGGGTATGGCATGCTGACATATGCGGAAGAGAATGCCATGGTATATTTTGTACAAGGTTTGACTATCTCTGAAGCGATACACTAGTGGAGTAACTAGCAGTTTACCCCTGGAGAGAGGTTCTGGGGAGGAGAGAAGGTAGGAAGGAGATTTAATTTTCACTGTAAACTTTTGGAATTTTAAAAATCATGTAAAATGTACAACCCATTTATTTTGGAAAATATTTTAATTAGTTGACTAGGAACTTTAAAAATAATCACACCCTAGACCTTCATCCGAAAGAATTCCTGAGCATGGTGAGGACAGCATCCTAGTGAGTGCCCTGTTCCTGGGGTTGCTCACAGGGCACACAGGGGTCTCTTCTGTTCAGGACCTGGAGGCTTGAACTCTTGAGATTTTAGAAGGTGCCTAGTGTGTCAAGTGAGTGAGTGAATGAATGAAAGGCCTGGAGGAACAAGAAACGAGATGCATCAGCCTCACAACATGGAGCCCCAGGAGATAAGCACAGGCCCACCAGCCCTCCACAAGCGGGCCACACTTGGAGAATACAGCTTCTCTTCTTAACGTGCTCCTTTGGCACGTGGCTACTGAGCATGAAAGATACTGACGTCAGCAATTTCAGCTCTGTCTGCTATGCAGCCAGGCACTGCCTCAACTGCATGAGTCATGGTTGACACATTTTTTTATCAGGTCAGGAAAGGACTTGTCTGTGTGCTCAAGCAAGTTCAAACCCACCTGTGAGAGACAGGCGCTGCTGAGTGAGAGCACCATTTACGTCAGATATGACGTCATTAAGGACATCTGCCCTGCACTGTTCCACTGAACTTGGTAGTCTTAGGAAGTCCTCTTTACAGGGATGACGGGTCTGAGCTGGATCACCTTGACCATTATTGCTGGATCATCTGAAATGTTCAAGGCTTGGGAGATGAGCCTAAGGAAAGGGCCTCCTTGAAGCTGGAGAGAGTGGCCAGTCCTTGGGGTGGCCTTCAGGAGAGCTCAGAGGCCTGCCAAGGGCATGATGGACTTTCATCTTTCATGGGACAATGGCCTTTGCTCCTGAGGCCACCAGACACCAAGAGTAAGAATCGTCAGGCTAAGCCTTTGCGGCATCTACTCTGCTGGGCTTCCCATGGAGCAGGGTTGCCAGGAGAAACAGGATGCCAGCGTGCGGCACTGGTGAAGGCGCGGCCTGGGGAGAGGCTGTGCTTTGTAACTGAGAGCAGTAGCCAGCCAGGACGGGAACCCTTCCACGCTGTTCTCTGAGCTCCTCACCCTCCATTCAGCCAAGCCAAGGTTTTACCCCCTTGGTGTTGACCTGGGGAAGTCTGGGCTCAACCTAGAAGCGGAGATTTGCACATGTGTGTGTTTCATATCCAGGCAGAAATGGATTTTGTATGCCCTTCCTTAAAACTTAATTGCTTTCCCCCACTGATCTTAGCCTACTTCCTCTGCTCCACTTCCTTTTCTCATGCCTGCTCATTTATTTTTTTTAACTTTTGGGGAGGCATCTTTACCCATTATTTCCAATCAGCTTCCCTTTTCTATACTTCCTTTCTCTTTCAGGTGGCTTAAATCCATTTTCTTTTTCTGTCAGGCTTGTTTTTGTCTTGCTTTTCCCCTTCTCTTTGGCTTCACATCCTGCTCACTTTTTTTTTTTTCTAAATCCAGCATATCTGCTTTTAGTTTTTTACCTGCCTTAGTCTCTGCTTATGGTGGCTTAGGAAACCCTGGGTGAAGACTGAGCTTCAGGTTCAGTCCAGTGCCAAAACAAAACAAAGAAAAAATTGTGAACACCATGTGTTCCCCTGTTTGGAACAAATGCAACTAGAGAAGTCCTTGAGCCTCAGCCCAGACTTTCGCCATGGAGAGGTCCTTGTTCTGGTAGATCCCAGGGGCAGGAGCTACTCTCAGAAAGTCCAGTTCAGAAAGAGAAGGCAGCGTGCTGGGGTTTGGATCCTGCTGCACTCTCTACAGCCCTGCACGAGAAACAGTTATCCCCATCGCGCAGATGAACCAGCGAAGTTCAGAGGCTTGATTAACTTGTCCGGGATGTCACCAAGCCAAGATTGCCACTCCAGGTGCGTCTCCCCACAAGGCCTGGGCTGCCTGAGCTGCACGATGCTTTTCTCTCAGAGGGAACATCTGCAGGATAGGGGCTGCTTCTGTAGAACTGGGAGTGGAAGGCGGGAGCCATCACCATCACCCTGAGAAGAAGCCAGCCCACGAGTTGGTTGAGCTTCTCTCTTCTATACTGCAGACCACCGGGACTGACCCTTGGGGAGCGAGTGGCAGGTGGCAGGGGGGGGATGTCATTTGCCCCTCCAGCCACTACCACGTGGTCTCATTGCCAGGCCCCCAGAACCCACCTGCCGTCGGTGGTAGTGCAGAACTTGGGCTCATTTTCCCTGGAAAGGATAGGGCTGAGTGTTCAGCCTTTTTCCTGCCTTCAACTCTCCCATGGTGCTCTCAAGACCACACACTCCACAGGGCCCCCACACCCCACAAGCGTGTGGCTGAGAGACCCTGGGAGGGTCCTCGCAGCCCTGCCACAGTTTCCTGATGGTGGCATCGGACTTGCCTACTCTCAGGGCCCTGCAGCGCTGACGTGCCCAGTTTGCAAGAATCCAACATGAGGAAGGAGTCTTAGGGAGCAGCAGGCGCTCCATGTCAGGGAAAGTGTGGTCGGTCCCGTGTCAACAGGATGGCTGCGGGCAGCCTCCCAGGGAATATAGCACTCTGGGGTCACAGCCCGCAAGCATTCAGATGAGGCTCTAGAGACCCCTGCTTTATAACTTTAAAAAAATGAGACAGGCTTGTTAGTTATTTTGTTATTAATTAGGTCAATATTTATTGAGCGTCTCTTACATAGGCTAGTGCAAGGACGTGTATAAATTAAAAATACGAGACGGTTCTTCTTAATGAATATAAGGAAAGAAATCCTCCTCACTGCTTTTTTTCTCAGAGCATTTACTTTAAGAAACTTAGCATTCTCGACATTTTCTCATCTCTTTAACTATATTTCAAACTTCACAGGCCTTTTGTCAGCCAATAACCTAGGACTTTCCTAAGGACCCAGCATCCTCTCCTTGAAATGCAAGTCTTAGTCTGGGAAAGCAATAGAAGATGGCCCAAGTGCTTGGGCCCCATACACTGCATAGGAGACCTGGAAGAAGCTCCTGGCTCCTGACTTCAGATCAGCCCAGCTGTAGCCATTGCAGCCATTTGGGGAGTGAACCAGGGGATGGAAGACCTCTCTCTCTGTCTCTCCCTCTGTAACTCAGCCTCACAAATAAATAAATCTTTAAAAACAAGAAAAGAAATCCAAGCCTTAGGTGACGAGTGCCCCTATCTGCCAAACAATCTCTTGTCATAAAGAGAAGTGTGTTTCTCCTCTGGGTAGAGTCAATTGGCTAACACAGTTACCAAGTAGAGGTAGAATGAACTTGACAAATGGTGCTGCCCAGGCCTCTTGGGGAGAGTCACTGCTTATCTTGAGAGCACACATGGAATGGTTTGTGCCTGCCTGGCTACTAAGATGTTAAGATTTTTTTCTCCATAGATTGCCTATGACGCATATCACATTCTGGCTTACTGATTCCACAACGGAACTGTTTCTCTCTCTGCCCCCTTTTGTGGACAGGATTTCTGCATTTGGAGTAAATTCTATCTTTGATTATACAAAGGAGCTGCAAAAGGGTTGTGCAAAAGTAGAATTAAAAGGTAAGTTTATTTTGTTTGATGCAAAACTTATTTTTAAAAAAAAGGGTTTCAAAATGTTTGCAGAAGTGCATAGTATAAAAATATACTATGAGAATTTTCAAAGTTGTTTTGCACCAGAATGAACTGAACTCTATCTTTTCCCATGAGTTCTTGAAGTACCCTTGTTTTGCCCCCAACACTAGGTATGGAGTACTAAGTTCTGCAGAGATAAGAATGTTTAAGATGCACTTTCCGTGAATGTGATCATTTATTAAGAGAACGTAAGCAAAGGTGGGTGAACCCAAGAACGGGACCTCTTTGTTGGGGGAGGGGGATCAGGAAAGGCTCATTTACGCTGAGAGTCAAGCTGGGAAGGAGTCCTCCAGGTGGATGGAGATGGAGGAAGCAGAGGATAGGGTGAGGCTGGGCTTTAAAGCCGAGGCACAGAGAGTCTGAGCCTAGAAGTTTCCAGAGGGCCAGGGCCTGGCAGATAGAGTATGAGGGAATGTTCTAGAAACTGAGGGTAGGGTTAGTGGTGCCAATGGAGGGGTTTACCTGTTTGCGGAGCAGCTAGGGAAGCTCATTTTAGGATGAGAGGAGGCCCAGTGAAGGACAGAGAGCCCAGGGTGAGAAGGCAGAATGGGGGGCCAGCACTGTATCGTAGCAGGTAAAGCCGATGCCTGCAGTACCAGCATCCCATGTGGGCACTGGTTCGAGACCCGGCTGCTCCACTTCCAATTCAGCTCTCTACTATGGCCTGGGAAAGCAGTGGAAGATGGCCCAAGTCATTGGGCCCCTGCACCCACATGGGAAGACCTGGAGGAAGCTCCTGGCTTCTGGCTTCGGATTGGTGTAGCTCCGACCGTTGTGGCCAATAGGGGAGTGAACCAGCAGATGGAAAACCTCTCTGTCTCTGCCTCTCCTTCTCTCTGTGTGTGTAACTCTGACTTTCAAATAAATAAATAAAATCTTTAAAAAAAAAAATAAAGAAGGCAGAATGGGGGTAAAGAGGGGGCCATGGATTCCACCCTAGGGGAAAGTCATTAGAGACTGCAGGAGGACACACACACACACACACACACAACTACTGGGCCGTCTCTCTAGCACAGCCTTTGGGGCCGTCTCCCTTTTGTCGTCTGAGCAAATTTACAACCCATAAACCATAGAAACCCGCCAGCTATGCAGATAGTTCTTGGTCATAGAAACACCAGCCGTGTCTGGCCGGAGATGCCCGGGGCTAGTGGATGTGGACTGATCTTTGTGTTTACCTGGACACGCGTCTCAGCATTTCTGGAAGCACCTCACCCATGCTGCCGTGGCTGCCGTCCCTTCATGCTCACTGCTGTGTGGATATCTACCTCCCAGCTCGCCATCACTCCACTGCTGGTGCTCGTGTGGGTGGTGTTCAGTTTGGACAATGCTGCCATGAAAATGGCTGTGCCTGTGCCTCTCCTACAACACGAAGCACCAGAAAAGCTCGGGTGTGCAGTGCTGAACAGGTTGTTTAAAGATATCTGTTTAGATTGGGTCCAAACAACAGGGAAAAGCAAAGATTTGATCACCCTAAAGTCCGGATTTTGCTCTCTTGCGGGGAAGGCTGCAGTGAGGGAGGGACGGACAGGGGGCTTTGGGTGCTGGCAAGGCCCCCTTTTTTGGTCTGGATTGTGCTTATGTGGGATTTGCTTTTAACCTGGAAGCTTAATTCAGTGTGTTATATTTCACAATAAGCATAGTTTAAGGAAAAGTCCAAAGGTGATGTGGAAAAATATTTAAAGAGATGTAATACAGGTTTTTTTTCCCTCCTACAAAGACTCACATTCCAAAATGATCACACTCTGGCCACACAAGAAGATGACGTGGTTGAAATGTCGACTGCAGCCAGAGTTCCGTGAGAATTCTGCCGCACGGGGCGGCCAGCCGGCTCTGAGCCCCCACGGAGAGCACGCAGCATCGAGGTTCAGCTGGAAGCCTCCACCTCCGCTTGGCTCTCCTGGGCAGGGTGAGTGTTGCACGAGACCCCGGCTGCCGTGATTCCCGGGCCGTGCTGCTGGGACTCAGAACGGGTCCTCGGCATGGGCATCTATGATCTGGACTCTGCCGTCCTGGCTCCACAGCCTCGTGGGACTGCTGTGGGGCACCACGAGTTCTCCTTCCTGTCCAGCTCATCCACTGCAGGTACTGCTTCCAGACAGCTCTGGGCGGGGGAGGAGCTGCTAGGTGCCCTGCAAGCTGGGAGGGAGGTTGTTTGAGGCCAGGGCCTCTGGTTTGGGAGGACCATACCCAACACCGCTGCTTCCCCAGAGCCGACCCCCGGTGGGGACAGAAGGAGGAGGAGGTGCTGAAGTGGTCCGCTTTAACGTTCTTTCCTTTCTTGCCCCCACGACTCTGGATCCCTCACCACCTCATTTGAAAGGGTTGTAAGGGACCCAGATTCTCTTTAACTTCTTTTTTTTCCAAGAGGAAAAGAAAGCAAGAGAATATTCCATCCACTGGTTAACTCCCCAAATGTTCACAACAGTTAGAACTAGGGCTCAAGCCAGGAGCTGAGTTCCCGGCCAGGTCTCCCAGGTGAGTGGCAGGAACCCAGGGGTTGGAGCCATCACTGCTGCCTCTGAGCCTGCATTAGCAGGATGCTGGAATCAGGAGCTGGAGTCAGGTCTTGAACCCAGGTACTTCAGTGTGGGACACGGGCTTCTAAACTGACATCCTAACTGCAAGGCTTACTGCCTGCCCCAGTACTCAAACCTTCTGAGCCTCGGTTTCCCCAGGATAACAATATACATGGTTTCTGGAACACCAAAAATTGGCCAAGCAGTTTGCTTGGGACTTTATATCCCCTTGCCCTTGATCATTGTGAAAGGTGGACACACGTCCATTTCTGGTGCCAAGTCTCCAGTGCAAGAGAGCACACGGCCGGCACACACTTACCAAGGGCAGAGCCAGGACTATGCTCCAAAGCCGGCAGCCTTCCCTGCCCTGTGTGTGAGGTGGGACGGTTGTGGAGCAAGGATGGGAGCAGATTATATGGGAACCAGCATGCGGTAGCATATGGTAGATACTCCCTTCCAGGGCTGTGGGAAGAACCAGGGCAGTCTGAGAGGGAATGCTCTGGTTTGGGCTGAGCCTATTTCCTACCCTGTAGCCCTTTATGGAAATAAACGCCCAACAGGACCTGGCGTTGTGTGGTGGGTTGAGATTCAGCTTGCGACACCAGCATCTCATTACTAGAGTGCTGGTTTGAGCCCCAGCTGATGTGCCTGGGAGGGCAGTGGAGGATGGCCCTGGTGCTTGGGCCCCTGCCACCTATGTGGCAGATCAGGATGGAGTTCATGGCTCCTGAATTTGGCCAGGCCTGGCCTGGGCTACCGCAGCCATTTGGAGAGTAGACTGGTGGTTGGAATCTATCTGTCTGTCTGTCTGTCTGTCTATCCATCCCTATCCCTCTCCCTCTCCCTCCTTTCCTCCCTCCCTTCCTCCCTCCTTCCCTTTTTGTCACTCTGCCTTTCAAATAAATAAATAAATCTTAAAGTCAAAAAAGGAGGTGAAAGATCAGAATCCACCCTGGCCATCCTGAGTCCATTTCTTTTTCCCAGGGGTCCTGGCACCAGTCATCACCTCCATCTAGACTCACAGTGGCCACCGGCTGCCTCTCCCACCCAGAGCCAAGCACAGCAAGGAAGCTTTCCTGCCTGCTTTGACATGGGTCACTTTTCTTTCCTTTTGGTTCATTCTTTTTTTATCTAAAGTTTCCTATCTCAAATAGTTGAAAATGAAGAACAAAACAAAACAAATTACTTTGGGGAGTAGAGGAGGAGGAACCCTAAAATTCTGGTGTCTTTCTGGATGTGCTGTAAAGTCGCAAAGTGGGAGGGTAGGTCTCTGGCTCTGATTGCCAGATGCAAGGCAAGCACCAGGAATTAACAGACTGCAGCCAGTCCTGCACTGGGGACCCCCCCCGCCATGCATTTCCTGCAGTCCTGCTCTCATAATTTCTTTCCCAAGACTGTTTTCCGAGGACACAAACCTGGGTCTGAGCATGTTTGCAATGATTCTAACAGCATTTATCAAAACTGAACATTGCATTTGTGCCAGCAATTTACTAATTAAAACCACTTTCATTAGAAAGGCAATATATAGGGCCTGTGCTGTGGCATAGTGGGTAAAGCTGATGCCTGTAGTGCCGGCATCCCATGTGGGCACTGGTTCAAGTCTTGGCTGCTTCACTTCTGATCCAGCTCTCTGCTGTGGCCTGGGAAAGCAGTAGAAGATGTCCCAAGTCCTTGGACTCTTATACCCACATGGGAGACCTGGAGGAAGCTCCAGGCTCTTGGCCTCAGATCAGCCCATTTGGGGAGTGAACCAGTGGATGGAAGGCCTTTCTCTGTGTATCCCTCTCTCTCTCTGGAACTCTACCTTTCAAATAAATAAATAAAATCATTTTTAAAAAAGGGCAATATATGCTCATGATAAAAAAAGCAAGGAAGAAAAAGGAAAAGAAAAACCCAAAGAACTATCCACAGTCCACCGTCCTAGAATCAACCACAACATTCTTCAACTTTATGTATATTTTCTATTTATGTTGATATTTAAAATGCAAATGCCATTTAAAGAAGTCTTTAATATTAAAATTTCAAACATGTATAAAAGCATTGAGAACCATCTTGCACCCATTACTCTGCTTCAACAATTAGCAACTCATGATCAATAGTTCCATCTATTTCTCATTTTATAGTCCTGCTGGATTATTTAATTTTACCTGTAAGCACTTAAACATGAGTTTCTGAAAGACAAAGACACACACATAGGAAACTTCAATACTATTTCTCATCTTTTAAAACTTTATCTAAAGGCAATTTTGTGTTTTCATTTAATGTCAAACTACTGGTTTTACTCCATGTCCCTGAAATGTAATTATTCCCGTTTCTAATCATATTCTGTCATGTTGGGCCGGTCACACATGATCTAATCACTGCTCCCCACGCCTCCACCCCTTGGACATGTGGAGGCTGCAGCACCCTCAAGAGAGCACCTTGCATTGTGAGCATGCAAAGCAAGCCAGCATCATTAGCCTATCTGTGCCTACCTGGGCGGAGGAGAAGCTCTGGACGTGCCAATCAGCCGCTCTGTCTCACGCAGGCTCCACCAGAAGTGTTTCCCCTTCCCTCCCTCTGAGGGCATCTTTATTTGCAAAGTTAGCCAATAGTATCTGGTTTCCTGTGAGGAGACTATCTTTAGAATCTGCTGCAGGCAAACTCAGAAACTCCCAGCTGGAGGCCATCTGACCACAGGGAGTCTGAATTGACCAGCCTGGGTGGCTGGAGCCCAGACAGACCTGGAGGGGGCGTGATAATGAGGGGCTGTGCACCTGGGGAGAGGGGCCGGCAGCAGGCCCTGTGGTCCCCTCAGCACAGCACAGCACAGCACAGCACAGCACGGTTCAGCTCTTGTTAACGGAAGACCCCAGGCAAGCTGGGGAAGTTGAGAGAGCCTCAGCTTTCCTGCCCAGGAAAGGCAGTTAAAAACCCAGCAGACAGCACTGGGATGGACCTTAAGGAGCTGCAGCCTTTCTCCTCAAAGCGTGGGCCCTGGCAGCAGGAGCTTGTTAACCACGCAGCGCCCGAGGACCCCCTCAACCTGTGTGTGAGCGCAGTTCTTAGGTGAGCATGGGGAAGGAGTGCGTCCAGGAGCTCCTCCTCGCAGGCGTGGTGGCCACTCCCGATTGAGGAAGCCCTCTGCCCGCTTCCCTGCTTCCCTGCTTCCCTGCCTTTCCTCCTGGCCTCGCGGCTTCCCTACCTTTCCCTCCCCTTTGACCAGAAAGCTCCAGGCTGCTCCCGCCCACTCTCGGACCCTGGCCTTTTCTCCATCCACGGTCCACGGTCCACAGTCCACGCGTTCCTACGATCTGGCCGAGATGGTCCTCTCTTCCAACAATCTCATCTGCTCCGGGACAGCCACCACCTGCGGGACCACAGCTCCACGTCACCATCGCCCCGTCTCTCCCCTCACCATGTCCCCCCTAGGAGTCAGCAAGCTCTTTGTAAAATCCAAATCCGCCACATTAAAACCTCCTGAGGGCTCTCCTCTCTCCTAGGGGAAGACCCTGGCTTGTAGTGTGGCCTCAGTGGGGTCCGTTCCTTGTTACTTCTGGCTCACACGTCCTATGGCCACATCTCCTGCCTGTGCACAGGCCCTGGGCTCTTCCCTTTGGGACTCTGTGTCACCCTCCTTTGAAACTAACGAGTAAACTTTTCTCATCCCATAGATGCTGGCAGAATACAGACTTCCAGCGCAGCGGGCAGCGTTTGCCGCCCAAATTCCGCAGGGTGATGCCCTGTGCCCAGAGGGATTGCTGCACACAGGAGAGGAGCACTGCGCTGGGGAGTGCGCCACGTCGTAGAACCAGCAAGCTAGCCCGCTCTTCAGCCCAGAGCGGGTGGCACCTCATCCTTCTAGGCTGCTCGTGGCGAGCACAACCTGGAGACGTGGGCCAAGTGAACTGCAGTGGGCTTTGCGTTCTTGGCACACCCAGCAAGATGAGAAGCACTTGGCAGTTGTCAGTCCCTGCACACCTCCGTGGGCCTTTGTGCAGGGGTCCTGGGCTCTACGCTGGGGACTCTGCTCCCAGGGCTCTGTTCACCCCTCCCCCAGGGCTCCCACTCTGGATGCAGCCTCTTTTGCCAGGCCCAGTCCCCACCCAGTAACTTCTGCTTGTCCATCCGTGTGAGCTGTGCCTTGTGTGCAAGTTCATCATCGCCCCAGCTTCCAAAGGGGTGAATACTGGAGAGTTCCTGGGCTTTATGTACAGTGCACAGATGTCCATACAATACAGAAACAGATGGACGGCGTCTCCCTACAGGCTTAAACTTTCATGATGGGTGAGTGGGAACACAACGTCTCCAAATACCTCTTGTGGAGGAGATAATAATGAAAAGAAGGTTGGGAAAGTCTCATCTAAGGTGTTACACAGGCCACTGTGCTGCGTCTCGTGTTCAGAGTCTGGGGTTAGGGAGTCACAGGACAAGAGCGATCTTTGCAGAAAAAAGAACTGGTGGTTGGCTGTGAGGGATAAGAGGGGAGGAACTGCTGCATGAACAGTGCTTCTCGGAGCCAGGCACCGTGCTGGGCCCGGTGTCTGCAGTGCCTCCTTGCGGTCATATTTTCATTTTCAGATGGTGAAATGAGGAGGAAAAAGCCACAAGCCTTGCACTGCATAGCTGGAAAAGGGTCAAATTGGGATTTTTTTTTTTAAGATTTATTTATGTATTTGAAAGGCAGAATTACACACACACACAGAGAGAGAGAGGGTAGGAGAGACAGAGAAAGAGTTCATCCATCTGCTGATTCACTCCCCAAATGGCTGCAGCAGCCAGGGCTGGGCCAAGCCAAAGCCAGAGCCAGGAGCTGCTTCCCATGTGTTGCAGGATCCCGAGCATTTGGGCCATCTGCTGCTTTCTCAGGCCATTAGCAGGGAGCTGAATTGGAAGTGGGGCAGTCAGGACTCGAACCAGTGCCCATATGGGCTTCGAGCCTACTCACTCTAAAGCAGAATATCCGTATTCCTGCAGGAACCACCTGCCAGACAGGCGTGTTCTGAGTGAATCACGGTGACCTCCCTGCCTACGTCTGATGCCTGTATGTGGCTGTCGAAGACACGTATCTGGCTGTTTACCGTCCCCTGGACATAGCTGGTAGAGTGACAGTTCTCCAATGACAGCTTGGCCGGGAGGGAGGGTGCGGTGTCCAGGCAGCAGTGCTGAGTCATGGAGCTCGGTCAGTGTGCCTGTTTTGATGGAACCCACAGGGACTCTTCAGCTTAGAAAGAGCCATCGAGTGCCCAGCTGTGTCTAGTTTCTGACACCCTGCCTCCTCAGTAGAACTCACATTATTTCAGTGCCTTCAGCAGTTCGCTTCTGGCAAGTTAGGAATAGCCCTGAAAGTGAATTTGGTGTGCCTTTCAATATGGTTGAGTGGCTTACATAGAAAAGTCCCCCTTTCCCAAAGTGTCTTAGACCAGTGATGAAGATGTTGTGAAGCTGCAATGTCAAGTTCACTTGTGTAATAAACAGGATAAAAGATCTAGTTCCTGGCAGCCAGTACGTACCCCATAGCTTAAGTGTATTTTGGGGTTCCATTAAGAAGTCAGTGTTTGGTTGAAATCATACAATGGGCAGCATGTCTTTACTTCCTGGGTTGTGGCATCTCTCCGCTAAGGCCTGAGGCTGACCCCCAAGGATTCATGTGGTGGAAGCTGTGTCCTCAGGGTGTTGATGTTAAGAGATGGTGGAATGTTTAAGAGGCCAGTTCTCCTGGGAGGTGACTGGGGTGGTGGGGCCATCATCCTCCAAAAAGACTAAGTAACTCTCAAGGGATCTCTGTTGGCTCCCACGATACTGGGTTGTTAGAAAAAGAGCGAAACTGATCCCTTCCTGGTCCCTGACCTCCTGTCTTGCCTTGCGATCTCTCCCTCGTGCACATGCGTTTGCCGTGGTGCCATCTGCCACATTGAGATGCAGCCTAGGGAGCCCTCTCCAGGAGCCAAACCCATGAGTCCACCCAGTCTTGGACTTTCTGACTTCAGAACTGTGGGCTAAATAAACCTCCTCTCTTTGTACAGTACCCGGGGTCAGGAGTCTTGTTACAGCAACAGAAAACAGATTAATACACTCGCCATGGGGAATAATTTAAGCTTTTAATTAGAAGACGTGTTGTCATATTCCAGTGCCTACATGTGCGTGTGTGTGATGGTTGGTGTGTGTTTATAAAGTAAATGAAATCCATCTGTGATTCCTACACAAAAAACACATCTGTCTTTCTCCGGGAGCCTCATGTGGGTTGGATTGTTTTCAGATCTCAAGACATTGAGGCAGAAGTCCTAAAGTCTCATTATAAATGGAAGCAAAAAAAAAAAAAAAAAAAAAAAAAAGGCCGGCGCTGCAGTTCAATAGGCTAATCCTCCGCCTTGTGGCACCGGCACACCGGGTTCTAGTCCCGGTCGGGGCGCCGGATTCTGTCCCGGTTGCCCCTCTTCCAGGCCAGCTCTCTGCTGTGGCCCGGGAGTGCAGTGGAGGATGGCCCAAGTCCTTGGGCCCTGCACCCCATGGGAGACCAGGAGAAGCACCTGGCTCCTGCCTTCGGATCAGCGCAATGCGCCGGCTGCAGCGGCCATTGGAGGGTGAACCAACGGCAAAAAGGAAGACCTTTCTCTTTGTCTCTCTCTCTCACTATCCACTCTGCCTGTCAAAAAAAAAAAAAAAAAAAAAAAAGCCTCTTTAACTCAGACGATGTCATCGTGTGCCTCATGGCTGTTGGTAACCAGCAGCGTAGGCACTGCACTTTCGCACTTGTGCCATGAACCACCAATCTCGCCCATTTGTTCACTCATGAGCCCCTGTTAAGTGCCCTGCCTTGTGCTCAGGGCTGGCTGCAGGGGTACAGAAATGAACAGGCTGGATCTCTTCTCTTAACCCTGACATTCTCGGTTTGGCTTGCACTCTTCTGGCTGCGAGAAGAGACGGCTGTGGGAACTGGGGGTGGCAGGAAGGTCCTGGCTTGCCCTGCCTTGCCTCTGTGCAGGGAGCTCTGTCTCCCTCTCCTGGTCCCTCTGCTGCTCCCCGTCACCCCCGCAGTCAGGAGCATACAGCTGTACACCCAGAAGATGTGGCCCCTGCCTCTAGTGGACAGTCTGGCTTCAGGACTCACCTCTGGTTCATGGACTTGGCTCAAAGCACGTGGCTTTGCTGACAGAAACATCTGTGGCAGCTGCATTTCCTAGGATGGAGCTGTGTGTGCGTGTGTGTGGCGGGGGCCGGGGCAGCAGACTGGCGTTTAGTGTAGTTTGTGATGAACCGGCAGACTCACTATGATCTACGGTCAGTGTCCTGGCTCGAATTCTGACCTGCTGCTCTCAAGTTGTGTGGCCCTGGGCAGGCTAGTAGGAGTCTTCAAAAAACAGTTAATGGAAAGATCATGTTATAAAACAACTCTGCCGGGCTGGTGCTGTGGTGTAGCTGGTAAAGCCACTGCCTGCCGTGCCAGCATCCCATATGGAGCACCAGTTCAAGTCCCAGCTGCTCTACTTCCTATCCAACTCTCTGCTAATGTGCCTGGGAAAGCAGAGGAGGACGGCCCAAGTGCTTGGGCCTCTGCACCCAAGTGGGAGATCAGGAAGAAGCTTCTGGCTCCTGGCTTCGGCCTGGCCCAGCCCTGGCCATTGCAGCCATTTGGAGAGTGAAACAGCGGATAGAAGATTTCTCTCTCTCTCTCTCTCTCTCTCTCTCTCTTTCTCTTGCTGCCTCTCTGTAACTGTGCCCTCAAATAAATAAATAAATCTTTTAAAAAAATATTAATTTGTCTATGTCCCACATATGATTTAGGCCGATACCCAGAATAATGTCAAGATTGTAATCAGAACTATTAAGATTGCAATTGGTGTTGTCAAGGTTGAAATTGATAGTAATTTCACATATGTTTTAGGTTAAGATTATAATTGCTATTGTCAAGATTATAATTGATATTAGTTTCCCAAAGGCCTTGGGTCAGGTTGACGCTGGTAACCATGTATTCCCCCTCCATCCTTGTGGTTTTTGCCTTTTTAAACCCTGTTACTTTGGGCTTCAGAGTCCAGTTCTTTAGGACATGAGCCCGCTCTCGATAGCTGGCAATAAAGGACTCCAAAATTTCTCAGTGGGTGGCGCTCCTCTGTCCCCACTCACTCAGGCACAACAGTAGGACATGCCAGGAGAGGGACTGTACTCCATGAAAGGTAGGTGAAGGGACTTCACTCACCCAAAAGCAGCCCCTTCTCCTGGGCTCTCTGGGGTTTGCTGATAGGCAGTGTCCCAGTAAAACTCTGCTCAACATTTGTGGTCCTGTTCCCACACCGCTCCCGGGCAAGGATTCCTGGACTTGGTGACCTTTCCCAAGTCTACCTTTTGGGCAGTCTTCTCACTCTCTGCTCCTGAATGGCCTTTGTACTACGCTTAGAAGAAAATGAAGGTCTCTCTCTCTCTCTCTCTCTCTCTCTCTCTCTCTCTCTGCCTCTCCTTCTCTCTATGTAACTCTGACTTTCAAATAAAAGAAATCATTCTTAAAAAAAAAAAAAAAGAAGAAGAAGAAAATGAAGAGGCCGGCACTGTGGCGTAGTGGGCTAAGCCTCCAGCTGTGGCACTGGCATCCTATATGGGCACTGGTTCGTGTCCCAGCTGCTCTACTTCCTAACCAGATCCCTGCTAGTGTGCCTGAGAAAGCAGTAGAAGATGGCCCAAGTGCTTGGGCCCCTGCACCCACATGGGAGACCCAGAGGAAGCTCTTGGCTCCTGGCCTCAGTTTGGCCCAGCTCTGGCCATTGCAGCCATTTGGGGAGTGAACCAGTGGATGGAAGATCTTTACCTCGATCTCTCCCTCTCTGTTGGTAACTCTAGCTCTCAAATAAGTAAATACATCTTTTAAAAAAGAAGAAGAAGAAAATGAAAACCCAGCTGTTATGGACTGAAAAATGTCCCTCCCCAATCCACATGCTTAAGTCCTAACTCCCTACATGAGAGTGTTTGGAAATAGAGCCTTTAAGGATGTAATTAAGGTTAAGTGAGGTTAATGGGGCCAGCGCTGTGGTACAGCGGGTTAAAGCTGTGCTGGCATCTCATATGGGCACCGGTTCGAGTCCCAGCTGCTCCCCTTCCAATCCAACTCTCTGCTATGGCCTGGGAAAGCAATAGAAGATGGCCCAAGTCTTTGGGCCCCTGCACCCATGTGGGAGACCCAGAGGAACCTCCTATCTCCTGGCTTCAGATCAACGCAGCTCCGGCCATTGCGGCCACTTTGGGGAGTGAACCTGTGGATGGAATACCTCTCTCTCTGTCTCTACCTCGCTCTGTAACTCTGTCTTTCAAATAAATAAAATAAATCTTTAAAAAAAAAAGGTAAGTGAGGTTAAATGAGTGGGGTCCTTATCCAATGGGCTGCTGTCCTTGTAAGAGAGAGCAGGGGTGTGCACGCGTAGAGAAGGATCCCGTGGGGACTCAGGAAGAGGTGGCCATCTGCAAACCAAGGGGAGAGGTCTCACGAGAAACCAAACCCACTGACACCTTGATCTTGGACTTTCAGCCAAGAAGAAATACTGCAGGAAACACGCACTGTTGCTGAAGTCACTCAAACTATGGTGTTTGGTTCTGGCAGCCCAAACTGACTGGGACAGCAAGGTAGGTATCATCCAGGGGAGAATTCTTTTTCTTAGTCCCTGGGCTGGAGGCCATGAGGCACATGGGGAAGCTGAGGTTTGTTTGGCTTGCTGCAGCAAGTGTGGCCAAAGGCACCCTGGGAGATCCGCCTTAGGGATCTGGGCTTAGTGCAGGGCGAGCTTCAGGACGGATCCAGGAGGCTGACTCAGCTCTGGCTCAGGTGCTTTCAAGGAGCAGGGGCAGCATGTGAGTGGCTGCCTCAGGGTCCATCGTCTGGGAGATGGAGGCTGGAAGCAGGCTGGAGTCATCCCTTGTACAGGAGCAACCAGGCTCACATCGGTCAGGTGTGTCTGCTGTGCGCTTTCCACTGGGTTCGCAGTGTGTCCTTGTGTGACCTTGCTGATGGGTGGGAACCCCACAGCCTCGCAGCCGGAAGGCAAGTCTACACTTATTTTCCTACCTAGGAAATCGCAGGTGGTACCACCCACCAATGGGAACGAGCACGGGGCCAGTTCTGATGCACGGGTGGCCACTCAAGCCATGGTTTACGAAGCACCCTTGGTTACGGGCGTCCGGAGTCCTCGTTGTCAGCTCTCCCTTCAGGTGAGGAAACAGGTGTGAGGAGGAGTCACTCGGGCTGTTAGGCTGGCAGGGAGGGCCACCCAGGTCAGAAACTCACCAGCATGCCACGTCTGGCTTTGGAAACCAGGGCTGCTTCTCCAGGGGCTGCTGAACCCAGAGCAGGTGCCTTTAGGGCACACAGATCCACAGTGCAGGGCCACTGCCCAGAGGACTTTTTGCTCCTGGCCCTGAGAAAAACTGAGTGTGGAACAGCAGAAGCCCTGGGAGGAGTGGGCCATGAACCATTTCCCCGAGGGAACCCCTAGGGCTCCCTCTTATGGTTATTACATGAACTGCTGCCCCAGACGCAGACCTCCAAGAGCAAGTGCCAGGGGCTGAGCACCCACCCTGAGTCAGGGACTCATTAACCCTCCGCCCGTCAGCCTGCGAGCTGGGTGGACATTCTGTCTGCGCTGGAGATTAGAGAACAGGGATGCAGTTGGAATTGAAGCAGGAAGAGTGTTCGTCACTGGGCTTTGAGATCTGGTCCAGGGATGGAGCCCCTTGTCTTCCAGAGTCGTCTTCCCACTGTGAAGTGGTTTGTTTTTTTTTGTTTTTTTTTTTTAAGATTTTTTTTATTTATTTGAAAGGCAGAGTTACGGGGCTGCGGGGAGGATAGGGGGAATGTTCCATCTGCCAGTTTGCTCTCCAGACTGATGCCAGGAGCCTGGATCTCCATCCAGGTCTCCCATGTGGGTGCAGGGACCCAAGCACTTAGGCCATCCTCTGCTGCTTTCCCAGGCACATGGGCGGGGATCTGGATGGGAAGTGGAGCAGCTGGGACTTGCTGACGCTCATATGGGATGCTGGTGTTGCAGATAGCAGCTTAACCAAACTGCAACGCCGGCGCACTCACTGAGGTTTTTTTGTTTTGTTTTTTAGATTTATTTATTTATTTGAAAGGCAGAGTTACAGAGAGGCAGAGAGAAAGAAAGAGAGAGAGGTCTTCCATCCACTGGTTCACTCCCGAAGTGGCAGCAATGGCTGGAGCTGGGCTGATCTGAAGCCAGGAGCTCTTTCCAGGTCTCCCACGCGGGTGCAGGGGCCCAAGGACTTGGGCCATCTTTGACGGCTTTCCCAGGCCATAGCAGAGAGCTGGATCGGAAGTGGAGCAGCTGGGACTTGAACCGGCGCCCATATGGGGTGCCAGCACCACAGGCTGGGGCCCCTAACTAAAAGCTTAATAACGTTTCACAGTCAGCTCTCCCGCTGCACTGGGGAATTGTTTTTAAATTATCAAGGATGCCCCAGTTTTACAGGTGTATTCTCATACAGCATCTCTCTAAAGCCTCACGCAACCTCGTATGCCGGCTGTAGTAGGCCTGTCTCCACTTTAAAACCAAGAAAACAGAGGCCCGGGGACAGTAACAGGTCAGACAGAGTAGCGGCCACTGATGGTAAATGCCTGCCATGTGCCGGGCGTCAGTGCTCGCTCTTTGTTACCTTGTTCAATTCTCCAGCAACACTAGCAGTGCCCCATTTTGCAGGTGAGGACCCCGAGGGAAAAGCTCCGGGCCTGGCGTGGCCGTCTGGCTCTCACTCAGCACATGACCCTGAGGCGTGGCGTCTGTCTACCAGTGCTTCACCATCTGCAGGCAATGATCCAGGTGGAAACAGAAAAAGTAGGCCGGTTAGAGCCAATTCTGAAGACAGGAAAAAAGCAAAGTTGGAAAGATTACTTGAGGCCCCTGGGGAGGGTGTGCACCCACTGTGTGTGAGAGCGAACTCGGGGTGAGGCCAAGCTCCGGGCCAGCCCGGGACCGAGCCTGGCTGGAATCCCGCACAGAGTTGCAGTAAGTTCCAGCTGCTTCCCTGTGTGTGTTCCCTGTGCCAGTAGATGGCTCTCTCCTGGGAGTAACAGCTGGAATATTACAGTGTCTGGAGTTGCACTGGCCGAGATGGTAGTCGTCTGCTTCGTGCATGTGGCTGATGAGCCATGGAAATACAGGGAAGCGCGGTAGAAGTGTAAAACACGTGATGGAAGTGTAAAACACGCACCAGGTTTTTAAAGGCACAGTACGCAAAACACTGTAAAATACCTCATTAACCATTGGATGTTAATTACATGTGGAGATCATAGTATTTTGGATGTGTTAGGTTTTAATTAAAAATTATTTTTCAGTATTTAATTATACATATCTCTGTTTGCAAAATCCGTATCTTGGGCAGCTCTGAGCTCGAGCACGGGGTCCCAGTGGATTTGCTTGTGGCATATACAGACGGTCCTTGACTAGGGGCGGTTTAATGTCCGAGGTTTTCACCCCACAGCGGCTTTATCAGGAAGGCAGGCAGCATCTGTCCTGGAAGCAAGGCGCTCCTTGGAGACGACTCGCAAGACAGGCCGGCTTGTCCCACTATGCGGCGGAGCCTGGAGGTGGTCAGATGTGTGGTTGGGGACAAATGACAATTAAGGTCTGCCCCCCGCCCCCGCCCCAGATGGGAGAACTGAAAAGTTCCTGTGGCTGATGACAGGGAAGCAGAGGAGTAGTGTGCTTTATTTATTTATTGAAAATGATTTGTTCGAGAGGCAGAGAGACAGAGACAAATGCACAAATGCATGCACTGGCTGGCTTGGACCGGGCTGAAGCCAGGGCCCCCTGCCGCTTCTCTTCCCCTTCCCTTGGCTAGCTCTCCGGGTGGTTAAGCTGTCCTTTACATAGATCGCCCATGACCCTCTAAATAGGAGTCAGTCCCCTGCCCCATCAAACCTCTCAGTCCAGTGTTTCTTCCCTGTGGGACTGACGACGTGTGCTAACACCTTCCTGTGCATCGGTGTGTGTTTAATGTCCATCTTCCCCACCAAGATGATGCCACCATGGGACAGGGGTCACATCTGTCTCCTCATGGCTGTGTCCCAGGGGCCAGCAGTAAGCCCTCTGCAGGGTTTGTTGGTGATTTCTTGTAGTTCGGGGACAAGTCCTACCTGCCTGCACCTGTTCTGGGCTGGGCACGTGGTAGGTCTCATCCTCAGTGCATCACAACCCTAGAGGGAGCCACACTGCCACACCTTGGTTGCAGGGCAGGTCACCAGCTTGGGAGAAGAAGCTACTGGCCCAGAGTCCCCCTGGGGGCGAATGCCCACGCAGGATCTCTGTGCTGTGCCTCAGTTTTCCGCTCTGCACAGTGAGACTGTGTCCTCCTCTAGAATGTCTGCAGCCTTATGCCATGGGTGTGCTTGCCAAATTCCCATTTCGGTAGATTTAAAAAGTCACTTGTAGATAAACCATGGGGAATACTGAGCTGGATGCGTGGGTCTGGTGCACATCCTTGAATTCTAGAGATTCCATTCCGATGTCTCTGGCAGACACATCAATGCCATATTCTGGGAGGAATGGGAGACCATGGCTCAGACCATGGTACAGAACACTGAACATGTTGAATAATTATTTTTAATTAATTGATTTGAAAGGCAGAGAGAGATGGACCAACAAGAAGTTCCTGTTCGTTGGTTCATCCCTCAAAAGTGGGCAACAGCTGGGGCTTGGGCCAGGAACCCAGTCTGGGTCTTCCATGTGGGTGGCAGAGACTCAAGCACTTGAACCATCACCTGCCGCCTCCCAGGGTGCGCGTTGGAACTGGGAGTGGAACTGGGACTTGGAACCAGGCTCTCCCATGTGTGTGAGGCAGGCATCCCGAGCAGTGTCTGATTAACTGTTAGGACAATGCCTCTGACTATTTTCTTTTTTAAAGATTTTTTAATTTATTTATTTGAAAGTCAGAGTTACACAGAGAGAGGAGAGGCAGAGAGAGAGAGAGAGAGAGAGGTCTTTCATCTGCTGGTTCACTCCCCAATTGGCCACAATGGCCAGAGCTGCGCAGATCCGAAGCTAGGAGCCAGGAGCTTTTTAAGGGTCTCCCACGTGGGTGCAGGGACCCACAGACTTGGGCCATGTTTACTGCTTTCCCAGGCCATAGCAGAGAGCTGGATTGGAAGAGGAGCAGCCAGGACTAGAACGGCACCCATATGGGATGCTGGTGGTTCAGGCCAGGGCGTTAACGCGCTGCGTCACAGCGCTAGCCTCGACCTCTGACTATTTTCAACATCTTATAAAATGAATGGTTGTTCTGGAGGGCAGGGAATGGATTTCTCAGCCTGGAATGCAAACCAGGAGAGGAACGGAGGCCTGGAAGCTCCCATTGGCCCTGTGCCCTCTGTGAACCTAGGGCAGGGAGTCTGGTCTTCATAGGGGGTGCAGCTGCAAGATAGAAGTTGGGTGGGTTGAGAGTTCTGTCCGAGATCCATACAGAGCAGTCCACCTAAAGGGCAGGCTTTCAGTGGGTGAGCTGAGAACCACACCCGCACAGAGGGGAGTTGTGTGACACCTGCATTGGCCTTGACCTCAGGGAGAAGACACACAAAAAAATTTCCCCAACTCCAAACCTGGATCCATGAGTGTTAACAGGAGTTGGGATTTACACAATCTGTGTAGCCCCAGTCCAAACACTCGGGCAAACAAGTGAAGCAGAATTGGCCCCAAGTTGGTGGTGCCCCAGGACACAGGTTGGAGGAGAGGTGAGCTCCGTGAGAGCAGGGCACTTGAAAGGTAGCCCCCCTGGGGCCGGCCTTGTAGCGTAGCGGGTAAAGCCACCGCTTGCAGTGCTGGCATCCCATATGGGTGCCGGTTCGAGTCCTGGCTTCTCCACCTCCCATCCAGCTCTCTGTTATGGCCTGAGAAAGCAGTAGAAGATGACTCAAATACTTGGGCCCCTGCACCCGTGTAGGAGAACTGGAAGAAGCTCCTGGTTCTTGGCTTCAAACTGGCCCAGTTTTGGCCATTGCAGCCATGTGGAGAGTGAACCAGCGGATGGAAAACTCTCCCCCTCTGCCTCTCTGTAACTCTGCCTTTCAAACAAACAAACAAACAAAAAAAGCATACTGTTTAGAAATTTTGATGGTGGGGCCAGTGCCGTGGCTCACTTGGTTAATCCTGTGCCTGTGGCACCGGCATCGCATATGGGCGCTGGGTTCTAATCCTAGTTGCTCCTCTTCCAGTCCAGCTCTCTGCTGTGGCCCAGGACGGCAGTGGAGGATAGCCCAAGTGCTTGGGCCCCTGAACCCGCGTGGGAGACCAGGAGGAAGTACCTGGCTCCTGGCCTCGGATCGGCGTAGCTCCGGCCGTTGTGGCCATTTTGGGGGTGAACCAACAGAAGGAAGACCTTTCTCTCTGTTTCTCTCTCTCTCTCTCATTGTCTAACTCTATCTGTCAAATAAATAAATTAAAAAAAAAAAAAGAAAAAATTTTGATGGTACATTCCAGAGGGGAAACACCGGCTAAGTATTATCAGTGATATTTTCTGGAGTATAGGAATAGTGTAGCAGTTGATGACATGGGACAGCTATTAAAAAAAAAAAATTAGCACTGTTTCATTTTATGCATACATTACTTAGAAAAAATATAAATAAATAATAAAAATTAAAATTAATTGAAATAAAAATTAATAAAATGTAGAAATCCCCAGCACACTACTCCTGCCCACATCCCCGCCCAGACAAAGCATAAGAACTAACCTTTGCGAGTTGCATAGGTCAGAGAGCCGTTTTTGTCTCTGTTCTGATGTTTATCTGAATTAAACCCGTTTGGTGCTCTCCCTGAACTCTGACTCATTCTTGGGGAGGTGCTAGTATTTGTGACCCCAGAGGCTTCTGGATCCTTCCTGCTCATGTGGAGGACTTTGTGGTCCTCTTCTCCCTCCGGAGTCCTCCGCCTCTGGCAGTTCCCATGGCCAGAGATGGAGCACTCACTCCATAGCGGAGAGCGGGCGTAGTGTTCTGGTTCACAGCGCTGGGGTTTGACAGCTGTGAGAGGCTTGGTTGGGGTGAGGGCTCTGGTCGGCAGCAGGTCCTCCAGGGCTCCTGGAAACGGAACTTTCCCATTGAGTTTACCGCAGGGGAAGCTGGGTTTGAGCTGATCGCACCATTTATTTACAGATTTTCTTGACCACAGGCACGTAACTGCTTTACTAAAGCTTCTGCGTTCTCATTAACAGAATGTTAATATCTGTCAGATAAAGGACGCAGAACAGGAAGGAGACAGAATACAAACTCGCAGCCAGGCAGAATTAAAGCATCAAAGAAAGTAAACTACAGAGGTCGACCAACTGCCTGCGTGCACACAGACCGAACCCGTGGCAGAGGCCCAGAGCCCAGGGGCTGGGCTTCTCTGTATCTTAGGTGGGCTAGCGGTGGGGCGCAGTAGGCAGAGGTAAGCTTCTTGGACAGGTTCTTCAAGTTTGGCTGCTGGCTTCCAAACCTGGAGAAGAATGCAGGGTGTGGGGTGGAGAATGATGGGGTCTAAGACTGAGTTGAGATTTCAGTGCAAGGGCTATATTCTGATTTTATCTGTCTTTTGGGCCATGAGCTAGAATGGCTGAGGCTTACGTCCTTGTTCCATCAATATCTTCTTAAAATTTTAATGAAGATTACATGGGACAGTGTGTGTTATGACGAATGTAGTGTACCTATCTGGAATGGCCAGTATATTAGCTATGAGCAATGTCATTTTTTTAAAAAGACTTTTTTTATTCATATGAGAGACAGAGATACAGACAAAAAAAGGGAGAGACAGAGAGATCTTCCATCCACTGGTTCACTCCCCAAATGGCCGCAACGGCTGGAGCTTGGCTGATCTGAAGCCAGGAACTTCTCCCAGGACTCCCAGGGGCACAAGCATCTGGGCCATCCTCCACTGCCTTCCCAGGCCATAAGCAGAGATATAGGTTGGAAGAGGAGTGGCTGGGACATGAACGGGCGCCCACTGGGATACTGCCAAAGGCAGAGGCTTAGCTCAGTATGCCACAGTGCGGGCCCCTCAGCGGTATCATTTTTAAGAATGGTGTTGATCATATGTAGATTACCTCTCTCTCTCTCTATATATATATATCTATCTATATCTATCTATCTATCTATCTATCTATATCTATCTATCTATCTATCTATCTATCTATCTATCTATCTATCCACAGGTAGCATATGTGGCATGGAAGATAATGTAGTATAATAGTTAACTAGTGGGCTGGGAGTTCAGCTGGGGGCTCGGTTACTGACCTTCTATTGATTCAGAGTGAGCGAACCTGGGTAAGGCGCTCGAGGCATTGCTTGCATCTTGCATCAGCTGTGTTTAGGATGGCCTGCTCAAAGCTCACCTGCTCAGATTTTTAAAAATTTGATTAATAGAATTTGAAAGGTAGCTGGCATCTTAGAGCCATATGAATAACATGTACTGGGTAGTAATGTCCATTATACTCATATATAAAGAGTTCTTACATATCAATAAGAAAAAGGTAGCTAAGTAGAAAACTGGGCAAGGGGGTAAGTAAGAAGAAATAAAACAAAATGATATCTATTTGAAAATGCTTCCACACTGGCATATTCAAATCAATAGAAATAAAAAGTGATATAACAGGTTGTTTCTGGTATAGAGCAAACAGACTTATATTGGTGTATTTGTTATTTTTATTTTAACTAACCATAGATTCACATGGAGTTAAATGAGGGATCTTCAGAAATTCCATGGAAAATGTGTATTATAAAAAACTATGCGTATTTCAAAAAAAAATTTTACACCAAAATAAATGTATGTTTTAACTCCATTTCCCATGAACTTTTTGAAGTACCCTCCTAGCTATAACATCATAGTCTTGTGCTATCAGCATTTTACCTGTTCAGTGAGGGGTAGGACCTTGGTCTCCCTTTCCCTGCTTATTATTGCCTTACACAGTTCTTCTGTGTACAGTTAGAACCACATCCAAGGATGTTGTAATCTTGTTTCAGTGAGCAAACATCTTAGGAAATTCAAGAGGGGAGAAAAATGTTTTTATCCATATTTTTACATTATCTCTTTTTCTTTCTTCCTTCTTAATGCCTCGAGTTTCTGTCTTTATATTTCCCTTTCTTTTTAGAGTATTTGCTTTCGCCATTCTTTTAGAGTAGGTCTGCTGTGACAAATTCTCCTAATTTTCCTTCATTTAAAAATGTCTTGATTTCAGCACTTGAAAAACATGCCACTTTTTTCTGGTCCCTATGGTTTTAATGAGAAATCTGCTATTCTTTTTCCATTGGTAAGGTATGATGTCTCTCATACTGCATACAAGATTTTTTCTTTCCTTTTTGTTTCAGAAGAGGCAGAGCTGGGGATCAGTGCCGTGGCATAGCGGGTAAAGCCGCCACCTGTGACGCATGCATCCCACATGGGCGCTGGTTCGAATCCTAGCTGCTCCACTTCCACTCCAGCTCCCTGCTAATGCACCTAGGAAAGCAGCAGAAGATGGCCCAGGTACTTGGGCCCCTGCCACCTATGTAGGAGACCTGGATGAAGTTCCTGGGTCCCGGCTTCAGCCTGGCCCCACTGTAGCCATTTGGGGAGTGAACCAGTAAATGGAACACCTCTCTCTCTCTCTCTATCTATCTATCTAGATATGTATGTATATCTTCATATATATATAAATACATATCTTCCTCTGTGTGTAATTACTTTCAAAAGTAAATCTTTAAAAAAAAAATAAGATGCAGCTGGGAATTGAACTGGTACTCATATGGGATGCTGGTGTTGTAGGTTGTGGCTTAACCTATTTTGCCATAAAGCCGGCCCCTGGGCTTTTTCTAAAAATTGTTAATATTTTTTACCTAGTTGAAAGGAAGAGAGGGGGAGGAGAGGGAGAGGAGAGAGATATAGAGAGAGGGATCAATTTTCCATTGGCTGGTTCACTCCCCAAATGCCCACAACAGCCGATGCTGGGCCAGGCTGAAGCCAGGAGCCTGAAATTCAATCCAGGTCTCCCAGGTGGGTGCCATGAACCCAAGCACTTGAACCGTTGGCCACTGCCTCCCAGCAAGGACCTCAGCAGGGAGCTGGAATGGAGAGTGGAGCCAGGACTCCAACCCAGGGTTCTGATGTGGGATGCAGACGTCCTAAGCAGCATCTTAACTACGGTGCCACACCTACACTTTTTAATGCCGATAAAAGACTATAGAAAAGGAGTGTCTACAGCCGAATGTGACACAGAGTGGGATGGGTCTGCCTGAGAAGTCATGTATGTAGGGAAGAATGAGCTGGCGGAGCTCACGGTGCCATTTGAGGGGACAGTGGTCAGGAAAGCAGTCATTTTCTGCTAGAACCCTGCAGAGTGCACTCAGTCAGTAACTCTGTGGCCTGTGTTCCAGCTTTTCGCAATGTGCTCAAGCAGCACTCTTTAGATTCTGTACAAGTTTCTCACCTTGCTCAGAACTTGAAGAGAGGAGGGGTGTGATTATTTGGCACCCAAAGATCCCCAGCAGCTACTGGGGTCTGCATCCAAGAGAGGGGGAGGGGGCACCAAGGACCGGCACATGCGTAGCAAGTCCAGTGTTGACATTTGGTCAGAGCACAGAGGTGCTGCCATCCTGGTTGTCTCTGGCCAGCATCCATTTGTTAAGTAGCTCGAACATCATCTCTGAGAAAAGGTGGACTCTGTAGGGTTGTAGAGAGTACTGTGATGGGTAGCCAGGAGTTCTTCTCCACAAGGCAATAGCCCAGGGCTCCAAGGATGCTATACGTATGCAATGACCTAGGTCCCCTGAAAACTGCAGGGTCTGGCTCTTCAGGTCTGGGGCACGCACAGGATTCTGCTTATCTAACAAGTCCCTAGGAGATAAAATACTTTGGGCCACAGACCTTATGATAGTAGCCAAGATTCAGAAAAGAACAGGGGTTCTCAATCTTAGCTGGGCACTAGAATCATGGTGGGGGGTGGTATTTGCAGAAAACTCGGGGCAGTTGCATTTTATTGATCTGCAGTGGGGATATTTTAAAAACTGCTCTGTGATTCTACAAACTGATAGGATTGATAAATGCCGATTCAGAATGTCTAAGAATCATAATTGTTACTTGTTTATGAGAGATAAATGTGGTTGAAGGATTAATACCTATGTGAACAAAGCATTATGGTCAATCTAATTATCTATGTACTGAAAAAAAAAAAAACAAACCGTGGACTAGTACCATTTCCCATTTGCACCTCTGTACCTCCTGCTAGTACGTGAGATGCCTGCTGATAAAAGCACCTTCCATGCTAACCACTGTCCAGGTGCAGATACCACTACCCTTGTACAGAGCTTAGAACTGGCCCCGCTTGATGGATTGTGGTTGCTTTGAGCTGTGTGCAGGAGGAAGGAAGGAAGGATATGTGTGTGTGTGTGTGTATGCACCAGAGATAAACACTCACCGCATTGTGTTAGATTACAGGGTTGGTGCTTGCCACACTTTTTACAGAAGGTCCACAGCATTTTAGGAATATACGCCATGTTTGCTGCTGCTCTGTTGGCACAGACAACTGATGGTTATTCCTTGAAAACGTGAACATGACATCATGTACATATAAAGTTGTACAGTTTCCTCTATAGAAAGTTCTTGCTCATTTTTATTATGTTAATACCTGGATACTTCATATTTGTTGATGCAATTATAAAATAAATCTTATTTTTAAAAATTACATTTTAAATGTTTGTTCTATAGAAATACAACCTAACCAAGTGAACATTTGCATATCATGACATTTTCATTCAGCAATATTTTCTGTAAGTTTTTTCTTGGAGTTGGGGGGAGAGAGAGATCCAGCTAGAGCTCTGATCCACTGGGTCACTTCCCAGATGCCTGTAATGGCCAGGGCCAGGGCCAGAGCTGGGATCCAGGAGTCTATCCCAGGCTCCCACGTGGGTGACAGGAATCCAGTCACTTGAGTCCTCACTGCTGCTTCTCAGAATCTGTGTTAACAGGAAGCTGGAGTCCGGAGTCAGAGCCCAGGACTGAACCCAGGAACACTGATGGGGGACATGGACATCACTGGTGTTTTAACCACTAGACTGCATGGCCACCACTCACTCAATAACCCTAATAAATGTTCTTGCTACTTGAATATTTTGTCTATAGGTTCTTCTGTATCTTCTATAGTATGTGGGATTCCTTCATCCTGTTTTGCATAGTTGTAGGTCATTCATTCTCATTGCTGTCATGTACAGTGTTGTGTGAGTATCCCAGAATCCATTTATTTATCCTGCCATTGATGGACGTTTGGATGGTTTCCAGGAGCCGATGATGAATGGAGCTGCAATGTCTTTTGTGAAATGTACGTATTTGTGTTGGATATGCACTTCAGAGCAGAACCGATAAGCCGTAGGCTGTGCAGATGTTCCTCTGCAGTAGATAATACGTGATTTTCCAAAGTGGCTGCATGAACTTACAGTCCAAGAACGGGAGAGTTTCACTCGTTCCACATGCATGCTGAATTCTATCAAAATTTTCCTGCATCAGTGAAGACGATCTTGTAATCGTCTGGTATTTTCCCACTAACCTTCTAACATGGTGAATTAGAATGATAGATTTTTCTAATGAAGTTAATCTTTCATTCCTGAGATAAAGCCAAACTGATCAAGATGCACATTTTTGAATGCTGATTGGTTCAGTGTGTTCCAGTTTTGTTCAGGGCTTTTACCTCTGTCTGTTTCAATGAGTTTGGCCTGTATTTTCTTTTTTGGTAATGACCCTGACCTCCTAAAGGTTATGAAAGCTAAGATTAACTCTTTGCACTCTCCATCCCTAACACTCTTTGATTCCCGGAATATCCCACTTTGGAAAACTGCAGATTTGTCCTCTTCCCTGTAGAGATGAGAGATGCTTAGCCCAGGCACTCCCTAGGCAGAAGAACATGGTGCGACTCCTCCATCCATCCTCACAGGGACCTTTGAGGATGTGTGCAAGTGTACCAGCGTCCCCAAGTGAGCTGAGACCTCACACTGTCACAAGAAAGGGATGATAAAAGCAAGCTTGCAGGGGTGAATGTGCAGAACCCTAGTTCGTGAGCCTGAGCCCTGCTCTGCAGTCTAAAACTCTCCCCAGTGCCTGCCCCCCCCCCCCACCCCTGCCCGGCGCTGAGTTTGCTGCTGGGAGCTCCTGTAGCTCCGCCCCCGCTAGCCCTGGTGCTGGTTGCATGACAGTGAGCTCCTGGTCTACAGCTTCCAAACGCCCCCTCTTCCCTCCCTGCTTGCACTAACCACACCGCCCCGACACAGGAAACCGGTGAAAAGCAGAACTCACGTCTCCTCAGCCAGCAACGCAGACATTCTTCAGTTTTGCATCTTTAGGAGAACTTCTTCCAGAGCAGCGCCCCTGAGAGTTTAACAGGGAGTGGGGTATGTGCATGGTCTCAAAGTCTCTTTCCACAAAGGACCTACTAGTTGCAAACGGAAGAACAGTAACTCTAGCACTGGCAGGCATCCTAACCAAGCAGACAAGGTTAACGTCGCAGGCACAGGGCCTAACCGATCATGTGTTCTCTGAGGCGAAAACACCACTTCTATGGTGTTTCTCCAAAGTTCTGAACCTATTCCCAAGGCAACATCAGACCCTCACAGACTGAAGGGCGTTCTGTGAAAGATCTGGCCTGATCAAAGGCAAATAAAGGCACTTAATGAAATGGAAGACGTGAGCTTGCGTCAGACCTTAGACCAAGAAACCAAAAATGCTCTATGGAACACTACTAAAGCAACTAGTGAGCTTGTAGAATGGACTTACTAAGGTAATACTATTACTTCAGTGTTAAATGTCTTGATTGTGATTACAGTACAGGTTATGTAAGAGAATACCCTTGTTTTGGGGATATTCCCACTGAAGCATTTAGTTCAAAAATGCAGGTGTGTAGATGTCACATACAGAGAAAATGGTAGTGTCAAAATGTTAACACTTGGTGAAGCCAGGAGAAGAATGTAACAGGGCTCTTTCTATGTTCCTGCAGTGTTTCTTTTCTGTTATTCCAAAATAACAAGTTTAAAAAGAACAGGTGTACTTCTAGCCCTTGGGAAACCACAGAGGTGGAATAATAAGGGCCATGCTGGGGGCTTGGAATATGAAGGGCAGTTAGAGCATAGTTGATTTTAGAGTTCTCGGGAGGAAATGTGTTATCTCCTTAACAAACCCTTTAGTTGGAGACCACCAGCCCCTTGTTTCAGTCTCTGCCCTGTGCCTTCTGGGCATGTCCACATGCGTCCATGCATGGCAGAGAGACAGTTACAGCCTAGGCACAACCTTAGTCTCTTTTCTGATCTTGAGGATTTCTCTGGGTTTCCACCTAGTTTTCACAATGATGTTTTTACCTTTCATTATTTGTCATTCCTCAAAAGACTGTCACCTCCTGGGATTCCTGTGAAGAAAAGTGCCATGGTTGCTAAGTTTCTTAAGGGTGGGGAATCATAAAACTTCAGCTTTTTTTTTTTAATGTCTTCTAATAGGGAAAGCAATGCTGAAAATGTGCTGTGCGCTTAATAGGTGTTGGTAGCCTTAAGAGGGGCAGGCGAGGCGTTAGTCAAAGGTAAATTCTGTGAATAAATGAAGCTTAAGAGATCTAATCAGTTTTTCTTGCACACAAAGTGGCATAAATTTCCTGAAATACAACTGAAAATACAAATCCGCTGTTAACTGTGTGTTTCTCCATCTTCAACCCTTCAAAGCAATAGTGTGGTTATACTTTTGATGGTAGGCAGGCAACAATCCTGACAACACTTAGAGAGGAAATAAACAGTAGAAATAAAAAGTATTTATTGCAATTTTGGCAATCTATGCATAATCGTTTTTGTATCTATTATATAGATAGTAAGACTTTTCTGATACACTAGTTTTACGATGAAAAACACCTAAATTTTTACTAGACTCCAGCTTCTTGTTTAGCATTTTTATTTATTTGTTTATTTGAGAGAGGCAAAGGTAGACAGGGAGATGATACATAAAGACAGACAGAGGGGTCTCCCATCCACTTGTTCGCTTGCCAAGTGCCTGCAACAGCTGTGGCTGGGCCAGGCTGACGCCAAGAGATGGGAGCTCCACCTGGGTCTCCCACGTGGGTAGCAGGGCCCCGTCTCCCAGGGTCTGCATCAGCAGATGCACGCTGCTTCCACGAAGCTGCAGCTGGCAGGGGAGCCAAGACGCGAGCACAGGCGCTGTCATAGAAACGTGGGCGCCATAACCGGCAGCTTCCTCGCTAGGCCAAATGCCGGACCCAAACTCGGGCTTTTTTCTACCACCTTTTGTTAAGCAAATGCTTTCTTTCTTAAAGATTTACTGAGAGTGGCCGGCGCCTCAGCTCACTAGGCTAATCCTCCACCTTGCGGCGCTGGCACACCGGGTTCTAGACCCGGTCGGGGCGGCGGATTCTGTTCCGGTTGCCCCTCTTCCAGGCCAGCTCTCTGCTGTGGCCAGGGAGTGCAGTGGAGGATGGCGCAAGTGCTTGGGCCCTGCACCCCATGGAGACCAGGAGAAGCACCTGGCTCCTGCCATCGGATCAGCGCGGTGCACCGGCCACAGCGCGCTGGCCGCGGCGGCCATTGGAGGGTGAATCAATGGCAAAGGAAGACCTTTCTCTCTGTCTCTTTCTCTCTCTCTCACTGTCCACTCTGCCTGTCAAAAAAAAAAAAAAAAAAATTTACTGAGAGTGTCAAACCTCAGCTCCCCTCCCCAACCACCAACCACCTGCATTCCCATGACACAGCCCCACTCCAAACTGCTTTTCCAGACTGCCGGGTGTGCCTTCATCCAGTCAAGGTGACACCTAAGGTTAACCATCACAGTGCAGGAAGGGTCACCCACAGATGTCAAGTCTCACCCCCTTGCAGGTGTGATTAAGTCAAGAGTCTCTGGGTGGGGGAGTTGTCAGGGATTATCCCGGTGGATCTAAACGCAATCACAAATGCCCTAGTGAATTAAAGGCAGTGGGAGGTCTGGCGTGGGCACCAGGGAAGGGGAGTGCTGGAATGCGCAGATGCTAGAATGATGTGGCCACAACCCCAGGATGGCAGAAGCATCCGCCGAGAGCTGGAAGGCTTTTCCCCGAGAGCCTCCCAAGGGAGGGCCGTCCTGGTGGATTACAGCTGTTTGGCTCTGAACCATGAGAGGATAAATTTTTGTTGTTTGAAGTCATTGAATTTGTGGCCATTTGTTCCAGTAGCCTTGGGAAACCAATACACAGGGCAAGGGCAGATGGGTGTTCAGTCCTGTAGGGACCCACACAGCCCTCTCATCCGTCCTGGGAACCCCAGAAAGAGGGTCGCCCTCAGTCCTGGATGCGTAGTTCTGTTCACTCACCCTTAACCCAACTCCCATGTTCTCTATTCAATTAGTCATTAAGAAGTTGCTGTGTGTCGAGTACGAAAGAACACCAGATAAATGCATCTTAAGGAACTCAGAAGAGACTTCTTTGGAAGTGACTGTTTTGGCTTAGTTGGGGTACCTGGGTTCAATTTCCTGCGCTGGCCCCTGACTCCAGCTTCCGGCTAACGCAGACTCTGGGAGGTAAAAGTGATGGTTTAACTGCTTGGGTCCCTGCCACCCCTGTGGAAGACCTGGACTGAGTTCTTGACTCCTGGATTTGGCTGTGGACTAGCCTTAGCCTTTCAGGCATTTGGAGAATGAATCAGTGAATGTTAGCTTGTGTGCTCTCTCTCTCTTTCTCTCTTTCTCTCTCTCTCTCTCTCTCTCTCTCACACACACACACACACACACACACATACACACAAGACTCTTTGGGATTTAAATAGGTCCCAGAACCCCCTGCTTTGGCTAATTTTGGTTCTAACCAAGTCAAGTTGCTTAGCAGAGTTCCCTCCCTAGTGCCCGACTCTGTTGAGTTCAGAAAATGTGTGCATGGAAGTCAGTCCACCATCCCTGGCCTCCTGCCATCCCACAGTCAATTACCATGCACCCCTGTGCTTTAGGTGCTGTCTTCTGGCCCAGCCTGGATTTGGGGCTCAGGGGAATTCTGCCTTAGTCCCCTGTGCCTTGCTTAGCTGGGCGGCAGCGGCGAACATCGCATCTCCACCTCCACCTCCACAGTCGATGAGGCAGATAACACAGTTTCCACTGTGATGACATGGAGCAACAGTACCTGAGAGCCCCAAGTTCACCGACAGCTCACCACTGATACTTGTTTATCACACACATCACTCTCGTAAAGGAGCTAGGGGTTCCCCGTAAGATTCATCAGAACATGAATGATGTAGTGGGGAGTTACCCAGCTATGAATTCAGCCACCAGCAGTTATTTCTCTCTCTCTGTCTCTTTTTTCTTAAACAAAGCATTTTATTTGAAAGGCAGAGTTACAGAGAGAGAGAGAGAGAGAGACAGAGACAGAGACAGAGACAGAGACAGAGAGATCTTCTACCTGTTGATTTACTCCCAAAATGGCTGCAACGGCTAGAGCTGGGTTGGGCAAAGCCAGAAACCAGAAGCTTCATCTGGGTCTTGCATGTGGCTGCAGGGGCCCAAGCACTTGGGCCATCTTCTGTTGCTTCTCCAGGCCATAGCAGAGAGTGAGATCAAAAGTGGAGCAGCCAGGACTCAAACCGGCGCCCATATGGGATGCTGGCACTGCAGGGGTGGCTTAACCTGCTGGCACCACAGTGCCAGCCCTGCCAGCAGGTATTTCTAGGAGATGAAATTTTCAGGAAAAAGGATTGGATTCAGGGGCCACAAATCAAGAACTGAGAGGAGCAGAAAGCCATTCTGCATTTATAGCTAAGGTATAACAGTTGAATTTGTGGCATCTGCTATGTTTGTGTAAATGCTCCCCGTGATGTTTGCACCATGACAAAGTCATCTAGAGATGCATTTCTCAAGACGTATCCCTGTCATTAGGCAACACGTTGACTGTGTTTCAGATATACCTGTATATGTGTACACATATGCACATACATGTGTATGTCACATGATATGGAGAGAAATCAGTGTGTACATTATATAGCTTCCAAATAATGATGATTTTTTCTTTTTATTATTCATTGTTAAAAATTGAGGTGTCATATGATATTTTGATGCATATGTATGTGTATAATTTTCAAATCAGGGTGAACACATCCATCTTCTCAAATATTTATCATTGATTTGTGGCAAAACATTCAGAATCCTTCTCCTAGCCTTTTTTTTTTTTAAGATTCATTTATTTATTTGAAAGACAAAGTTGCAGAGAGGGAAATGCAGAGGGAGAGAGAGAGAGAGACAGAGGTCTTTCAGCTGCGGGGTCACTCCCCAAATGGGCTCCAATGGCTGGAGCTGCACCCATCCAAAGCCAAGAGCCAGGAGCTTCTTCTAGGTTTCCCACATGGGTGCAGGGGCCCAAGGACCTGGGTCATCTTCTACTGCTTTCCCAGGCCATAGCAGACAGCTGGATCAGAAGTGGAGCAGCTGGGACTCGAACCAGCGCCCATATGGGGTGCTGGCACTGCAGGCGGTGGCTTTACCTGCTATACCACAGTGATGGCCCTCTCTCCTAGCCTTTTTGAAATACACAGCACATTGTTGTTATCTGTAGTCGTCCTGCTGTGCAACAGAACGCTCAAACTCATTTCTCCTACCTAACTGTAACTTGGTACCCACTAACCAGCCTCTCCCTTTCTCTCCCTCCTCCCACTTTCTTTGACCTCTGGGGACCACTATTCTATTCTCAACTTCATAAAATAAATGCTTTTGGATTCTGTCTATGAAGGAGATCGTGTGATACTTGTTTTTCTGTACCGGGCTCATAATGTCCTCCAGTTTCATTCATGTTGTTGCAAACAGTAGGATTTTATCCTTTTTATGGCCAAATAGTATTCCGTTGATGTACCACTTTATGTTTTTAAAACTGCCTACCTCTTAACGTACATTAATGTCATCATTCACTATTAACTATGAATATCATTGTTGTAGTTGTTTTGTTGTTCAGTCTTCACAATGAAGATGTAAATAATCCAAGCAGCCTGCTGACAGTAGAATCGTGGGTTTCCTTGGCCCAGCGCTGTGTCCCAAGGCAATGTCCTGTGCTTGCGTTCTTCCCGGCTCCCCAGCTGCTGGAGGCCTTCTCCCCACTGTCTACCTGAGGTGGAGGAAGGATGGGGGAGGCGCCTCTTGCCAGGCGAAGGTGTGTGCAGAGGCGTCGGCAGCGGGTGCTGAGCTGGGGGCAGGGGCTGGGGAGCACTGCCAGGTCCTGGGTTCTGGCTTGACCTAAAGGCTCTACTTAATTCCTTCTCTCTCCTCCAGGGCTCTGTCTGTCTCCACAGCGCACAGCTTCGGGCTGGGGAAGAGGTGCTGCAGGCAGCTCTTGCCTTTCTGCCTTCCTCAATGCATCTCTTCTTATTTATTTATTTATTTTTTGACAGGCAGAGTGGACAGTGAGAGAGAGAGACAGAGAGAAAGGTCTTCCTTTGCCATTGGTTCACCCTCCAATGACCGCCGTGGCAGGCGCGCTGCGGCTGACGCACCGCGCTGATCCGAAGGCAGGAGCCAGGTGCTTGCTTCTCCTGGTCTCCCATGGGGTGCAGGGCCCAAGCACTTGGGCCATCCTCCACTGCTATCCCAGGCCACAGCAGAGAGCTGGATTGGAAGAGGAGCAGCTGGGACTTGAACTGGCGCCCATATGGGATGCTGGTGCTGCAGGCGGAGGATTAACCTACTGCGTCACAGCGCCGACCCCAATTATTTAATTTTTAATGGCTGTTAAGAACGTTTTGATACGCTTCATTTTGACTTGACGGAACCTCCTTGTGAGCAATACAGATAGCCCCACAGAGCTCCTGGACTTTGGCCTGTTGGGGCTGAGCAGCTTAAATAGCAGAAACTTACTTTCTCACAGTCTGGAGGCTGGGAGGGCCATGATCCTGGCTCTGGCAGGGTCGGCCTCGTTCCAAGGCCTCTTCTGCTGGCTGGCCGATGGCTGCCTCTCTGTGTGCCCTCACGTGGCCTTTTCTCTGTGCCTCTGCTCTGTGGGCTGTTGCAGCCACATGGGGAGTGAACCAGCAGATTTAAGATCTCTGTAAGTCGGCATGGAAAGCCAAGACACTCTGGCAAAAAGATCTCTGTGAGTGAGATCCCAGTGGAAAGAACAGGTCTTCAAAGAAGGAGGTACCTTTCTCTGAAGGGAGGAGAGAACCTCCACTTTGACTATGACCTTGTCTAAACAAGATAAGAGTCGGAGAACTCAGAGGGCTTCCACAGCCTTGGAAACTCATGACTGGAGCATAGGGAGATTACTGATGCCATAGACAGGAGTGTCAATTTGTAGAGTCAACAACCGGAGTCACTGTGCACTTACTCCTCATGTAGGATCTTTGTCCTTAGTGTGCTGTACATTGAGATTTAATACTATAACGAGTACTCAAACAGTATATTTCACTTTGTGTTTCTATGGGGGTGCAAACTGTTGAAATCTTTACTTAATGCATACTAAACTGATCTTCTGTAAAAAAAAAAAAAAAAGAAAAGAAATTATCAATTCCCAACTTGACTCTCACTGGGATTAAACATGACAATAGGTCTGATCTGATTTCATCATCATTTAAAAAAATCATCTATTATTTTTCACTTTATGTTTCTGTGTGGGAGCAAACTGTTGAAATCCTTACTTAATGTATACTAACCTGATCTTCTGTATATTAAGATAATCGAAAATGAATCTTGATGTGAATGGAAGGGGAGATGGAGTGGGAAAGGGGAGGGTTGCGGGTGGGAGGGACGGTATGGGGGAGAAGCCATTGTAATCCATAAGTCGTACTTTGGAAATTTATATTCATTAAATAAAAGTTAAAAAAAAAAAGAAAAAAAAAGATCTCTGTAAGTCTATAAATAAATCTTAAAAAAAAAAAAAAAAAGGCTCAGAGCTGGCTTCCTCCCTCTCTGCTGTTGGACGCGTGAGAACACCTCCAGAGGAGCTGCTGCTGGCACATTGGGGTGGAGACTCTGAGAGGAACAAATTAGCGACACTGACACCTCCAGCACCAAGCCTCAAAGCAAGGTATGTTGATAAGCTGCCCTGGGGAAAAAGGGTAGGAGTAGACAGGGAGAGTCAAAAGGAAGGTGAATATTTTAGGGTCTGGCACAAAAGGCAAACGGTTTTTAATCTTTGCCTTGCCTCTGTCTTAGTGTCCTCAGCTCTGGCTCAAGTCGTGCCTTTTTCTCTGCACGTTGCTAGCAGGGAGACAGAGCTCTTAGGGAAATAGCAAGAAAACACTCCTCCTATCACCGGGCTTCTAGGGTTGTCTGTCCTGGTGCTGGCTCCGGAGTTCCATCAGATAACTGAAGGACACCTGGCATCATTCTTAAGGGAAGAACCTAGCAGATTTACTCGGCTACAAAGTCGTCTAAAACTTGGGAATCAGGTAAACTGGGCTACAAAAGGTCAGAGCTTTTTACTCTGCCTGCAGAAGGTAGAAGTATGATAAAGAACAGGCTCTGGGATAGATAGGTGGGACTGCAGGTCGAGACCCGTGCCTCACCCTCTATGTGAATTCAGGCACTGTAGTGCGCTCTCTGAGACTCGGTTAAGATTGCAACGCGAGAAATAGCAAGGGATTGGCAGCGGCTTCACAGAGGTCCATGAGGAAAAAGCTCAGTGACACACCTGAAACTGTTGCCTCCCCTTAACAAGAGGTGGGTGTTGTTTACACTCTCTGGAGGTTTTATTTATTTATGTTTTATAATACAACTTATAACTATAATTCATAAATATAATATTTCATGATTTTATACATATAATTTTAATAATATTTTTATACTGTGGAACCTGGTCTTGCAGTTATTTTCATTATTTTCTTACTATTGCTCTTTAAAGTGGCTGTCTTTTTAAAAAAAATTGATACATGCATTGCACATAATTATGGGAAACAGGAAGATAATTTGATACTTGTCTACATGCAGCAATCAAACCAACATAAATAGCATTTCCATCTCTGCCTTTCAAATAATAAATAAATAAATCTTAAAAAAAAGAATAAAGAAAAAGAAAGAGATCTTCTATCCCTTGGTTTATTTTCCAAATGGCCTCAATGGCTGGGGCTGGACCAGGCCAGGCCAAAACCGGGATCCCAGAACTCTATCCAAGTCTCCTCTGTGGGTGGCGGGAGCCAAAGCACCTGGGCCGTCTTCTGCTGCTTTCCCAGGCACATTAGCAGGGAGCTGGATTGGAAGCCGAGCAGCTGGGACTCGAACTGGTGGTCATATGGGATGCTGGCATCACAGAGGGTGGCTTAACTTGCTGTGCCACAAGGCCAGTCCAAAACATTTTGTCATTTCTTTGTGTTAGGAGCTTTTGTATTCTTCTTTTCTAGTTATTTTGAAATGCATACAAAATTGCTGTAGACGACAATCACTCTACTGTGCTAAGGAACACTAGGACTAATACCTCCTATATAATTGTGGTGGTTATGTATCTTGGTTATATATGGTTATATATGGTTAATATCTAATATCTGTCTATCCCTCACACCCTTATGCTTCCCGGTCTGGAACAACCACTGTTCTACTTTTTGCTATGAGATTAACTTTTTGAGCTTCGACAAATGAGTGAGAGCAAGTGCTATTGGTCTTTCTGTGCCTGGTTTATCTCACTTGACTTGGTGCCTTGTAGTTCCATTCATGTTGCTGCAAGTGATAGGATTCCATTATTTTCAAGGCTGCGCGATATTTCACTGTATATATTATATAGCACATTTTCTTATGTTCTGATGGATACTTTGACTCCGTATCTTGGCTATTGTGGGACTGCGGGACTGCAGGCATGTCTTCGATATACAGGGATTTCATTGACCCAATAGTGGGAGAGCTGGGTTAGGTTCTCTTTTCAGTTTTTTGAGGAGTCTCCATTCGATTTTTCATAATAGCTGCACTAATGGAGTTCATACTCCTTCATAATGGAGTTCCTGCTTCCTCTGTACTCTTGCCAGCATTTTTTCTTTGGTTGGTTTTGTGTGTGTGATGCCTAGTCTGACTAGGGAGCGAGGTGCTATCTCATTGTGGCTTGATTTGCATTTTCTTGATGTTTCCTGATACTGAGCATTCTTTCATGTGCTTGTTGGTAATCTATCTGTCTGCTTTTGAGAAACATCTGTTCAGGTCATTTGCCCTGTTTTGAACTGGTTTGCTTTTTGTTTGTTTGTTGCTGTTGAGTTGTTCTGAGTTGCTCATGTTCTGGGTGGTGATCCTTTGTCAGGTGAGTGGCTGGCAGACATGTCCTCCGTCCTGCAGGTTGTCTCCACGTTGTTGATTGCTTCCGTGGCTGTTCAGAAGCTTTTTAGTTTGATTTAATCTTGTCTGTCTACTGTTTGCTATTGTTTCATGTGGTTTGAGTTCTTGTGCAAACAAGTTCTTGCCGAGTCCCTTCCATGACTACACATACATATGTCTCATTTTAATCATATCCTTAAACATTTTAAGTTTAACTGACATATAAAAATTACATATAAATTTATGAGGTACCATGTGATGTCTTGGTTTATGTGTTATGTTCTGCAGGGTTCAGTTTAGGGTAAACATAACTATCTCAAGCACTTATAACTCTTTTTAATCCAAAATTCTCTCACATATAAGTATAAATACATAAAAAATGAGCTATTATTTACAGTCACCATACTGTGCAGTAGAACACAATAGACCCTCCTTCTCCTGTTCCTAACTTAGTACCCGTTAATCAGTCCTTCCCCATCCATCCCTACCCTCTTGTGTCCCCAGCATTCTGTTCTCAACCTCTGTGAGGTTGATTGTTGCTTTGGATTCCATGTGTGAGTGAAACCATGTAGCACTTGTCTTTTTTTGCTGTGTTTACTTCACTTAATGTAATTACCTCCGTGTTGCCACAAACGGCAGTGTTTCATCCTTTTAATGGCTAAATAATACTCTCTCGTATATCATATCACATCTTATTTATCTAGTCATCAATTGATGGACACTTAGTTTGCTTCCATTTCTTGGATGTTGTGAATAGTGCTGCGTTAAATGCACAGTACCGTGCAGACGTCTCTTTGACAGATTCATTTCATTCCCTTTGGATGTATATACCCAGTAACGGAGTTGCTGGATCATGCATAGTTCTATTTTTAAATTTTTGGGGAGCCGCCTCACTAACGTCCACAGTGGTTATTCAAATTTACATTCCTACCAAGAGTGTTTAAAGATTCCCTTCTCTCCACATCTTTGCCAGAATTTGTTTTCTTTCTTTCTTTCTTTCTTTCTTTCTTTCTTTCTTTCTTTCTTTCTTTCTTTCTTCCTTCCTTCCTTCCTTCCTTCCTTCCTTCCTTCCTTCCTTCCTTCCTTTCTTTCTTTTTGTTTTTTTTTTTTATAATAGCCATCTACCTGGAGTGAAGTGTGGTTTTTTTTTTTATTTTTATTTTTTTAATTTTTTGACAGGCAGAGTGGACAGTGAGAGAGAGAGACAAGAGAGAAAGGTCTTCCTTTGCCGTTGGTTCACCCTCCAATGGCCGCCGCGGCTGGCGCGCTGCGGCCGACGCACCGCGCTGATCCGATGGCAGGTGCCAGGAGCCAGGTGCTTTTCCTGGTCTCCCATGGGGTGCAGGGCCCAAGCACCTGGGCCATCCTCCACTGCACTCCCTGGCCACAGCAGAGAGCTGGCCTGGAAGAGGGGCAACCAGGACAGAATCCGGCGCCCCGACCGGGACTAGAACCCGGTGTGCTGGCGCCACAAGGAGGAGGATTAGCCTAGTGAGCCGCGGCGCCGGCCGAGGTGTGGTTTTTATTTACATTTTAATTTATATTCTATTTGCATTTTCCTGAAGATTAGTGATGTTGATCATTTTTTAATGTGCCTCTTGTTCTTTTATGTCTTCTTTTGAAAAATAGCTATTTAGGGGCCGGTGCCGTGGCTCACTTGGTTAATCCTCCTCCTTCGTCACCGGCATCCCATGTGGGCACCGGCTTCTGGTCCCGGTTGCTCCTCTTCCAGTCCAGCTCTCTGCTGTGGCCCGGGAGTGCAGTGGAGGATGGCTCAAGTCCTTGGGGTCCTGCGCCCACATGGGAGACCAGGAAGAGGGGCCTGGCTCCTGGCTTCGGATCGGTGCAGCGCCGGCAGTAGCGGCCATTTGGGGGGTGAACCAACGGAGGGAAGACCTTTCTTTCTGTCTCTGTGTCTCACTGTCTAACTCTGCCTGTGAAAGGAAGGAAGGAAGGAAGGAAGGAAGGAAGGAAGGAAGGAAGGAAGGAAGGAAGGAAGGAAGGAAGGAAGCTATTTAGATCTACTACCTATTTTTTTTTAAGATTTTATTTATTTATTTGAAAGGTAGTTACAGACAGTGTGAAAGACAGAGAGAAAGGTCTTCCTTCCACTGGCTCACTCCCCAAATGGCCACAACTGCCAGAGCTGCACCGATCCAAAGCCAGGAGCCAGGTGCTTCCTCCAGGTCTCCCATGTGAGTGCAGGGGCCCAAGGACTTGGGCCATCTTCTACTGCTTTTCCAGGCCACAGCAGAGAGCTGGATCAAAAGTGGAGCAGCCCGGACTAGAACCAGAACCCACAGGGGATGCCAGCGGTGCAGGTGGAGAATTAACCTACTGTGCCACAGTGCCGGCCCCACTACTACCTATTTTTTTTTTAAGATTTATTTATTTATTTGAATGTCAGAGTTACACAGAGAGAGGAGAGGCAGAGAGAAAGAGAGAGAGAGACAGAGAGAGAAGTCTTCGATCTGCTGGTTCACTCCCCAGATGGCTGCAATGGCTGGAGTTGTGCCGATCCAAAGCCAGGAGCCAGGAGCTTCTTCCGGGTCTCCCACACAGGTGCAGGGGCCCAAGGCCTTGGACCATCTTCTACTGCTTTCCCAGGCCATAGCAGAGAGCTGGATCGGAAGTGGAGCAGCCGGGTCTCGAACTGGCACCCATATGGGATGCTGGCACTTCAGGCCAGGGCATTAACCAGCTGCACCTTAGTGCTGGCCCCTACTACCTATTTTTAGATTGATTTATTTGTTCCTGTCCTAATGAGTTGAGTTCCATATATGTTAATTTTTA